GCGGGGTGAGCTACCCGCCGGATCACAGAGCGCGGTGTGGCACCTCGGCCTCGCAGGACCCCTCCCCTCGCCGCGGGCACCGCAGGGCGGACAGCTAGAGCCCTCCGTCCCGCCTCTCGTACCGCGTCCGGCGCTTCACCCCGCGCCGCTGCTCCGCAACGTCAAGCGGCGGCCGCCCGGAAGCGCTGCGCGCTGCCCGCCCCATCCGGTGACGCCGCGCTCGGGCCGGCCGGGAGCCGCCGCGCTGTGCCGCGGGGAGGGATGGCTGAGGGGAAGAGGGAGGCTCTGTCGCAGGATGAGCTCCGGAAAAGGCTCTATCAGACCTTTAAGAACCGAGGCGTGCTGGACACGCTCAAGGTGTGTGTGGTTTGGCGGCGGGCGCTGCCCGTGATTCGCCGTAAGGGAGAAAGCGGCGACGTTCTGCGCTGAGTAAATCCCAGAATGGTAGAATGTCCCGACATGGACGGGACCCTTAAGGATCATCTCCGGCCTTTCCCCTTCTCCCCGGAGGAGACACGGTGGTTTTGCTATGGCCTAATTGAGACCGGCGCTTTTCCTGGTGCCAGGAGCAGGTGTTTGGTAAACAGAAGTCTGTAGTCTCAGGGTGTTGGTCAGGAGGGTTGACTACTGTAAGTAAGCACTAATGAATTATTCTCCTGTCGTTATTTTTTTTTCTTCTTCTTTTTCTTTCCAGTTCTGCTTATAGTGGGTCAGGCTGCTTCCACATCACCTCCTCCTTCAGGAGAATGTCACAGAACACGGTGGTGTCCAAGAGCGGTGCTTTGTTCTGCTTGTAGGCGAGATCTGTTATTTGTGGCTCTTCTGACTTTTTCTCATGTGCTGAAGGTATCCTTCAGTCTAAATAGCTCCTGCTCCTCCTTAGGAGCCTGTAGGCAGTAGTTGTGCCTTTCCTTCAGCATGCATCTTCACAGTGCTGAGCAAGTCAGGGCGCAGCAGATTCATTGCCGGTCATCCCAGCAGTCGCCTGCATGAGCATGAAGTCTTTCTCTTGTTCTTAAAGCAAGCCTGTCACAATTGCATTGAGCTTTCCAAATAAAGCTTAGAGCACTGTTAATTCTAGCCTGTTTATTTGGAAGGCTGCATGCATCTTGTTTTGAGGCGTGTTACAACTGTAGTAAGTAGGTTGGTGGCCCTGCCTACAGCAGGAGGGTTGAAGGGTCCAACCCAAGTCAGTCTATGATTGTAGTGCTGATTGTTGTTGGAAGGATGTCTGCTTTTCCCAAGCATCCCATGTGTACAGTAGAATGTATATAATGTCTTAAGTGTTGATGTCTTGTCTTTCACAAGGCTTCATTTTTTCTGGGCTCAGGCATCTGATTGTATTGCTTATGATGTACTGATCTTGATGTACTTTTGTTTCCAGCTTTATGTCACCGGGATTTTTTTTAGATCCTATTTTTATGTCAATTCAGTACAGTAAAAAAAAAAATAAAAAATCTGTATTTCAAGAATGCAGCTGATAAAGCCAAGAATCTCATATTCAGGACAACTTATTTTCTCCCTCAGTGATTTCCATAGCAAGCTTTCAATGCTCAGACCATCTTCCATATCTTGTTTGACTTAACTCATAGTGATGTGCTATCTAAGTCTATTTTCCTGCTTTAATTTTCCTTGCCTAGGAGATTATTCATCCTATTAAAGATTTTGTAGCCTTTCTGCGCTGAAGAGCTAATATAGTTGAGTTTCTGATTGATTCCTGCAGACATGCTTGCATCTTCCACAGACAATGCTCCCAGCTTTCTCTGGAAAGAAAAAAAGCTTTCTCTTCTGACTCCCTCTGCTGGTCAGAGGCAGGGTGGGTCTGAACCTACAGGTGTGCTGAATAGTAGCACAACTGATGTTTGCCTTCCTTTCTCTCAGCAGGGACAGGGATTTAGCCCTGTTTTCCACTCCAGTTTGTCACACAGTGTACAAGAAGTTGCTTGTCCCAGTTGTTTTGGGGACACCCTAATCTCTGTCAAAGTTAGCTGAAATAAAACAAGTTCAGAAATTAGGGGAAGTGATTTTTTTTTTATCAGCTACTTTCATTTTTTTCTGTTGTCAGCCTCATTTACACAGCCATGCTAAAATATCATCGGGGCAGTCTGATGTGATCTAGCAATTGTTTCACTGAGGATTTCATATTTTATCCCATTTTTGCTAATATAGTTTCTTTAATCAATCAACTTCAAAAATGTGGCCACTGTTGCATAGTTGCTGTTGGGATGGAATCAGCAACTTCTTCACAGAGGACTCTCTAGAGGACTAGTGAGTTTTCCAAGTACACCTGAAGCTGAAGAATGTCGGACAGGCTTTGTTTAAGACAATAGATAAGAGAACAAGAAAGCAGTGATCTAAAGTTAAAACTGAGGGTACTGGAGCAGAGCTCCAGTGTGTTCTTTTACTGAATACTTCTCAGTCCTACACCTGTTATGTCTTTAAGGGAAGGCCTAAGATTGCTTGAGCACTTGAGTTTGTTTTGAAGAAGAGCTCTCCTCTAAGCTCTGCCAGCATTAGGCTGCCCACTTCTGGTATGTAGGTTGTAATGTAACATGTAGAAGTAAAGTGAAAGCCTGCTAATATTTGATAAACAAAAACTCTTGTTATAATCTCAGGTTATCTGTTACTAAATGTTTTTCTTGTGTCAGACGCAGCTCCGAAAACAGCTCATCCATGAACTTATGCATCCCATTTTAAGTGGAGAGCTTCAACCACGGACTGTTCCAAGTGATGACTGTTCGCTTTTGATCACAGCTTCCAACAGTTTGGTGGCAGACCATTTGCAGAGATGTGGCTATGAATATTCGCTTTCTGTTTTCTTTCCAGAAAGTGGCTTAGAGAAGAAGAAGGTGAGTTTGGTAATCCACTTCCTTTAAGACTTCTGTAGGAGCTTTGCTTTCTAGGAGTTGTTATATTCCAGCAGAATTGACAGAAATCCCTGTTAGGGATCATCTCTGTAAAAGACTTAAATATTCGGGTCTATATACATGAAAACTTTAAGCTCACAGTAGGCTAAATACACTGTATTGGAAAGGCATACCCTCTTAGCCACATGCTTGCTTCACCCATAGCCATGGTTTGACATGACAATTCACATGGCCGTGTTGCACTTGGGAACCGACCCTTATTAAAGCTAGCCTCATTTTTGCCCATTCAGTTTTCCTGAAAGTGTGGTTTATGATCAGTTTCTGGTTACAAGTTCCGGCTGAAAAGGGCAGTCTTTGCCCTTTATTTGTTTGTCCTCTGTGAGGAAATGATAATATGGTGAATTTTTTTCTAACTGAAAATTCATTTCTTGAGCTGGTGAGCAGGTAGTTGTCATTTGGATTTGTGAGCTCATCTCATTAATATGGTAAATTAAGAGAAGAGGCAGGGAGGGTAGCAAGAGTATGCATCCAGGTTTGGGAGGAAACAAAACCCTCTCTTCACAGCTTCAGTTTGTCATAGAACTATGCACTGACTGCCATATATATTTGGTAGCAGAGATAAGCAAATGCGGTACTTCAACAGTAAGCTTCTGAAAACGTTTGATGCAATGTTTTGCAAGGTGATAAATAGAGCTTTCTGAAGTGGAAAACATTCAACAACTGTAAAATGATGGCTGTTGCATTGTTAAAGTATTTAACTTTTTCTACTTTCTCTCTTTTTTTTTTTCTTTTCTGAAAGCTGTTGTCTGTGCAAGATCTTCTTCAATTATTGAGGATCAGTCCAAAATCCAGTTTGTACAAATCACTGGTAAAGTTGTTTTGATTCTGGAAGTAAGCTAAACTTACAGTTGTGATGATATAGACTGGCTAAAATGCTATCTTCTTTCTTACAGACTTTGGGAACTCAGAAGGAGAATAAAGGTAAAAGATACTTATACATGATGCAAACAATAGTAGTTGTGTCACCTTCGTTTTTATTGAGATGCTAGCAATAGAAACTCAGATTTCTTGAGCATATGTTGGTCTGGACTAGTGTGGATTTAATAAGATTTTGAAACTTGTACTACATAAGGTAGTAAATATAATGATCTTTGGATGTTTTACACTCCAACATTGACGAGTTTCACAGCTATTAACTTGCATGTACTTCAAACTCCAGTTAATGATTTAATAGACTTTTCTTTCTTTTTTTTTTTTTTTTTTAATGTAAGAAATCATTCTTATGTTTGCAAGATGAAATGTAGCTATATGAAATAGCCAGGAGTATCTTGGTCTTCAGAAACCACTGTTCCCTAATGTCATTGTAATTACAGTACTAATATTCTGCTCCATCAATTGACCATTGATGGTCAAAGAGACAAAGAGAAACAGCAGAAAGGAAAAGATTGAAATAGAATAGAATACACTTTTAATAAAAAATACTTCTAGTAAAAATCAATAGCTTACTAGCATTGATTTTCATTCAGTATTCACTGTGTTCTTTCAATAAATTGAGTTGTTTTTATTCATGTAGTGCAAATGACTTCATTAGTTACAGGCTTGAAAATTAAATTTTGATATGAACTCAGAAGTAACTAATCTGTTGGATCTTGAAAGGTTTTCTTATGTGGATTTTGATGGGGCTTACAGAGCATCATTTAAGTAAAGAGTGTCATGACAGAGAAACTCAGACAATCTCCATACCCCCTTACAGAGAATCTCTTGGTAAGTGCAGACTTTGCAAGTAAGTCTCCTCAAACAGTTCCATGTTGGTAAACGGTATGGGTGGTTTACATTCATCATTTATCCAAATGCAACCTAAAGTAACAACAAATAGAGGTTAATATGTTCTGGAAAACGTAATTGTAACTTCGTGCATTGCTTTTCTGTGTGAGAGTGTTTCAGTTTTTTAGGCAAAGATTGGGAATTCTTGAATTATAACACGCACACAGTATTAATACAAAAATGTAGAAGGTACATGCAAAAGAAAATTCTTGTCCTCTTAGTAGGGAGGATGAATGACTAGATATGCCACAAATAGTACCTGAGGCTGTCCTGTTGTGTGATGTAGAGTTGATAAATGCCATTTTGGTGCTACCACTGACACAGGACTTTCTATGACAGTGATGTTTATGTACACTAAGAAAGTTCACACAAACCCATAGTGCCATACAGTTTTTGGTGGGATAAGCATGATGACTAATTCAATTTTAAATTATGAAACTTATGTGGCTTTTTTCTTTTTTTACAGCTGAGAAACTTCAGCTCATCGATGAGCAGTTTGCTGATTCCTATCCTCAGCATCATAAATACGAACCTTTGGAAGGCAAACTTCATGAATATAGGAAAGAAATAGAGAAGCAACTTCAAGCAGAGATGTCTCAAAAGGTATCACTGTGGTGACTGAATTTCAGGGAGAAATTTGTGAATATTGACACCTTATGGATCCTTAATATTTAAGAAAACTTGAAGAAAAATGGCTGATCGTGAATAACTACAAATACAAAAAGCAAAGTTCATCAGTTACCAATTCTTAGTTTAATGATACTGCATGTGTATATTCTCATTTATCTTTTTTTTTAATAATTAATCTACAGAATGTTAAGGTCTTTGTCCAGATGTTAATTTGGTAATTTTTCTTATTTTGCTTCTTAAATTGGTACATTTTGTTTGCTCTCTAACTGCTTTGTTTTATTGGGAAATCTTTATGTTTCATAGTAAACTATTTATTTCCCTTCCCAGGTTCAATTTTGAAGCTTAAATTTCAGTGTAATGCAAGGCATGAATTGTTGCTATATACTTTGACATAAATTAAATTTTTAATATTGATTGGAATTTCTATAGTATTTCCAAATGTTGCACAGAAACAAAATCATAACACACGCAATGTTATGAATTATTCCCTGTTTTTTTCTTTTCTGTAGTTAAAGACAGAGCTCTTTGAAGTATTTTATTTCACTTTGTGAATATAAAAAACCTGTCAGTAGTTCATACATCTGAAAAATGGAGCAGAGAATATACTGCAATTCATTGTATGGTTTTGGGTTTTTTTTTTTGTTCTGATCAATAGCTAATTTCAATAGAAAAATATGTAAATGTATTCACTGATCAATTAAAATTTTTAGGCACAGTTTAAAAGGCACTCATCTGCATATAGAGTGTTTGAGGAAACCAGTTTAGTCATATTTATTAAGATAGAGAAGGATGGATTTAAAACTGAAGTCTGTGCATTTTATCTTCATTTTTCCTTTAATTTTCACTCCCTGGTAGGGATGTATTTTTTGGTATGTAAAAAATGCTAATTTGGACTTTAAGTTTGCCTCAGTTTAAGGAAAGCAGAAGATTGGAGACTAAAGCAGATAAAAATAACTTCTCAATTCAGTTAACTTTAAGAATCCTTAGCAATGTGAAGTGAATTGCTGTAGGACGTTTCTAACCCACTTTGTATATATACAAGTGAGGCTGCTGTCTCACTGCTTTTCACAAATCCATCTCCATAGGACTGAACTCCTTGACCAGTCTCACAATTTTTCCATTGTTTCTTTTATTTTGCTCATTTTTTTTCTCACATTTTTCTTCTGATATGCTTACTTTCCATCTTCAAATTTTGAAGAATTGCGTGAGGAGAGATTGATTGTTGTTGTTATTTTGAAAGGGTTCTGTTTAACCTTCTTTTCTTCCTTTATGTAAAAGCTACAACATTTCAAAGAAGTTGAAATAGCCAAGATTAAAATGGAGGAGAAAGCACAGACCCAGAGAGAAATCTCTGAGCTGCGGTATGAGTTAGAAAGGACACATCAAGCAAAGGCTGAAGCCTTGGTTTCTCGTGAAAAGAATGCTATTGAAAGGCTTCAGAAACAACAAGAGGTGAAATTCCAAATACTTGTTCTTAATCTAGTACAAAATGACTGTAAGTCAATAAAACTGTTCTTTTATCTGTGGCTTATCTTCAGTTCTTATTCAGCTTATTAGTGAAAACTTGGAATTTACTTTTGTTCTCATAAATGGAGGAACCTGTTCAGTAAATACAAGGATGAGTATGGTTAAATATTTAAGTAAATTTGGCTGGAAAAAGAGCAGTTCTGCAAGCTACGGTTGAGTTATAATAAATACTTTTCAATCTGCTTTCATAATTTCACTGAATTTAGACCATTGAGATTTTGTTACAAGTTGGTACGACTGTTTGTTCTTCTATCTCCAAAACACAGCCTTTAGTTCTACTACAGATTCTTTCCGTTGCTTAGAAGAACTCTGAACTAAATGGGATACATAATCCACATGATATAGATATGCAGATAGATGTCATTATATGTAGAAGAGTTACAGTAGCCATTGCCTTTGCTGTAAGCATCTCCTCCTTTAATGATAGATACTGTGAAGTGAAACTAATGGTAATATTTTGTGATTCAGATAGAAGCAAAGGAAGTATATGCTCAGAGACAGAGTCTACTGAAAGATATTGAAGTCATGAGGACCAGAGAGGCAGAACTGAAGCAAAGAATTGAGGCATTTGAAATGTAAGTTGCTGAAGGGCATTTCAGTTCTAAATGTTGTTGGTCTTCTGGAAAGCATACTCCAAGATATTACTGCTTCTGCGAAGCTGAAATAGATTTTTATATATCCCATAAGTTGTGTTGGCATTTTGAACTTTGTTGTGTACTACCTCAGTTGGCTGGGACACCTGATACAAAATGAAGCCTTTTTTTTTTTTTTTTCCATTCCTCTTCATCTGGCCAGAACACTGCAGCATCTCTTTGGAGACAAGGAATCATATATTTGCTTTGAAGGTCTTAAATTAAACAATAATGATTTTGAAGGTCTTAAATTAAAAAAATAAACAATCAACGCAGGATGTAACAGTCCTAACAGTTGCAATGCCATGTATGTGATGCTTTGCTTTTTTAGACTTGTTTTTTTCCACTAGTAAGAATGTTGTCTTTCAGTTTTCCTTGGTCAAACTGGGAAATAACTAAACCGTCTTTGGCCAGGTTTTAAATACTACCTAAGTTTATTACTCTGTCATCTCTTTCATATGGCAAAATGAGTATCCCACAGAAACGTGTCTTTTTTCTAACAATCCAGCAGAGGGTGCTGATAGTGTTGGGCATGATGCTTGATCTCTTTTGAAGACTTTCTGGTGTGGAAAGCTGAGCTAGGGTTACCCTGGGAGAGCTGCATAATTGATTGGTACTCAATTTTAATTATGTCAATTTATTTTCTGTCAGACCTTCTTGTTCTTAATGAGTTAGAATGACAGGTTCTGATCATAACTTTAAATTGCTAAGGCGTTCTAAGCAAGCACATCACCCTTTAATGGCTCTAAATCTTATTTTAAGGAAAAAAAAAAATTGAAAACTCCAAAGTTTTGTAACTGGTCATTGTATATTTATTAATATTTCAGCACTCAGAAGCTTCAGGAAGAGAAAAATAAAACTATTGATGATGCACTTCGACGTCGAGAAGTTGCTGTGAAGAACATAGAGGAGACTTATGACCAAAAGCTTAAGACTGAACTCTTAAAGTAATTTTTTCTTTTCTCTTTAATAGAACATATGTTAATTCTTATGAAAATAAAATTTAAAAAATTATAAGATTTCTTTTGAGAAATGTAACAAAGTAAGGACTTAAAAGTTTCCACTCACTCTTGTTTTAATTGCCTAGAATTATCTACATTTTTGCTGCGCTAGCGAGACAAGTTGTTCTGTCAGGTTCAGAAAATGCTTTCTATGGAAAATAATTCTCTTTTGATTATAGGCTATATTATTTTTGTAGATTAAATCCTGTGTTCTTTATATGGGAAAGAGATGTGAGATAAGTTGTATGTTTAGACAAGAGGATGTGAAGCATTAGTAACTTCCTTTGACCATGATTAAAAGAACTGGCCCTTTTATGGACACAGAGAAGTCATGGAGGTTAAAGTACAGTTAAAGAAAGGTTAGAAGTTTCTTGGAAAAAGAGTGAGAGACACACCAGCCCACACAGGCAGGTTAGTTCTTAGCTTAATGCCTCATTGTTTTTGGGATCTCTGTTGTAGGTCACCCTCTCTTACTGACTCTAACCTGCTTCAACTTGATTTCAAAGAATTTGCTTTGAAATGCTCTTTGAAATGCTCATCAATGACTACATTTGAGATTTTGCAGTTAGTATACCTCACTGTTACTGCCTTCCTTTGAGTGCTTTGGTCACTTGGTTTCTTGATGCTTCAGTGCAGGCATATGCTTTCAGTATGTTACTGCTCATGCGTATATCATGGCATGAAACAGTCATCCAGTTAGAAAGGTAAACCAAATGACTGATGTATTGTAACTTATTTTTGCAAACCAACTGTTTGTATCAGCTGCCGTGCACTAAGTATCTGTGTTGGTGTGTCTTAGCTTAAACAGAGAGAAGATGTAAAGAGGAGGTTTTGATGGGAATGATGTCTCAGCTGGAACTGAATAAGATGCCAGGGTTTTCTTAGAGAACAATGGAATGCAGGCCTAATTTACCCACCTTGGTACCTTGTTTTAACCAGTTAATCAGTAACAGCTAGTTACAAGAAATACTTGTAACACTCCTGGAGATTTCCATAACACTGAACAGTAAAGATGGATGACTGCTGGGCTGTAAATACCTGGGCAGTGCTCAATGTCTAACTGGTTTGTGGTGGCATGCAGAGAAGCCAAGGGGACATTACTGTCCTGTACCATCCAACACCTTCATCCGTTATCTGGATGATGACACTTTGTGCTTCAAATTTGAACATGAGGCTTACTTAAGGGAAATGGCTGCCACAAGAAATGGAAGTATTTCAATGCAGGTGGGCTTTGGTAAACTTGGGGATTTTGCCAACATAAACCTAAGGATTTTAACAAAGCTTAGTACGCAGGGCGGAGAATCCTTCTGCAGTGGCACAAGTGGGGAGAAAGAATGGATTGAGCAGCAGCCTTTCTGGAAAGGACATGGAAGTTCCAGTGAAAGCTAGTAAGCAAGTAAGTGGCAAGTGGCAAGTAAGGCCAGCAGCACAATGGGTCACATTAACAGCAGTGTGGACAACAGGCTGAGGGGTTGTTTTCCCCCTAAGGTACTGGTGTAGGCTGCATTGAGTTTTGGGCCCCTCAGTCCAACAGAGTTGTGGAGAAGTTGGAAAGAGCCTAGTAGAGGTTTGTGCAGGTAGTGATGGTGACCTCTGAGAAGAGGTTGAGGGAGCACAGTTTGTTTAATCTATTGTAGGCCAGGCTTGGTGATCTGTTAGCATCCTGAAGCTGCTTGAAGTTTTTAATCTTTTTGCTTCTAGATACCAGCTTGAATTAAAAGAAGAATATATAGCCAGAACCAATAAAGTTACTGAAGATGAGAAAAAAAATAAAGGTAACCATCTCTCTGTGATTAATGCAGCAGCAGTTGAGAGCATTTACTAACAGGTATCAAAGCAGCACGGTTACTGAACAGTGACAGTGTTCATAACAGGTGTAACTGCCAGAAAAGCCACCAACTCAGGCTTTGAAAATCACGTAGCGAGATCCAGTAGCAGGTCAGCAACTCCTTGCAGTTTAAAATGCAGTGGGAACCAGGAGCTGGTGCTTCACGCAGAGGCTGAAAGCCTGCTTTTTCAGTTTCCCAGCTCTTTCTGAAGTTGTCCCAGCTCACTCATTCTCTAATTGAACTCTGGTACAGCCTGATTGAATCGTTGCCAGCTTCTAAATTTATTGTGCACAAGATGTTTAACCAAAGCTTGAGAAGAGAGCTGAGACAGATAGCATGTTTAGACTTCTAAGTTGGGGTCATGTGAAAGAAATGATATATCATGTGCATATGAATTTGATTTACTTAATTCTAAAATAGTTTTACATATGCATTGTATACACTCACACAGTGATTTACATAATTTTGAAGGCGTATGTATACATACATGACACTCAGTTATTATAAATTTTTGAATTAAATTGAATGTTGGACTTAGCAACTTAAATTTTTTTGCTGATACAGTCTTTAATGTAATTGTCTATTAATTTAATTCAGCATTTGTAATCCTCCCTGCAGAGAAGGCTATGCTTTTGCGTGAAGAAGCTGTTGCTGTTAACTCCAAAAAGGAGGAACTCAAGCAAGCTGTGTCACGCACAAAAGAACTTGAGGTGATGTTAAACGTAAATTTTAGAGAAACTGTATTCTAATAACTGCATGTGAGCTATATTTAAAAAAAAAAAGTGAAATAAAAACCAGTTTATAGTATAACAGTGTTTCTTTAGAAACGTCTTCATAAACTTCTAAATTGTTCTTTATCTGCAGCTGGATTTGGAGTCAGTGAAGGCTCAGGTTCTGTTGGTAAATAAACAGAATCAGTTGTTGACAGAAAAACTGAAAGAGGTGTCAGACTATCCTTTGCTAAAGGAGGAGAAACTGGAGCTCCAAGTGCAGAATAAACTACTTAGGCAACAGCTGGATGAGACTCGCACTGAGAACCAGCATCTTCGAGACAGTCAGTGTGAATGATTTAATCTTTTTCTTGTTTGTGCTTCCCTTTGTGTTTTTCTTCAGAAATACATTGTCATTAAAAGACATTCTTTGTATTATGTATACTGTTAGTTGGCACTAACCCTCCAACTGATGAATCAACTGATGAATCTAAGTCCCTGACATTATATTTTCTTCAATATATCTATGTAGTAGAAATCTTGAACTAAGTGATACCCATAATAACATGAATATCCCTTCCACCTCCTGAAAAGTATAATATTTCCAATAATAGCACTAATATGGTTAATAATGGTAAAAATAATATTGCATCTTGAAGGGTGAGCCTGTGTGGAACCAGGATTTGGACTCCTGGCATGGGTACTTTCCAACTCAGAACATTCTTTGATTCTGTGTCTGTAGTTGTAAAGTGCTGATTATTTTTAATGTGCATCTCAGATAACTAGAAAGTAAAGATGTATACACCGGTTAGGTGGGGTTATGTATTTTCCTTCTATAGTAGGACGATGTGTCTAGTTCTTAAGCAACTATGTGAACAAAAACTTCAGTCCTTTGTAAAAGAAAGAAAAAATCTTATGTACTTGCTTCAAACAAAACCGAATTTTAGAAGACTTTGCTATGTCCTTGGAAACAAATGAGCTTTAAGTTTCAAAGAGATATCTTATGGAGAAGTGAACAATTACTCTATGTTAATCTATCTGATATTTCTTTTTCGTGGAAGAACTGTCCCAGCCTTCAGCAGAGCACCTGGCCTGCCAAGCAGAGCTGAGAAAGGTTGAACATTCCAGGAGGCTGGTGATGGATGAATTTGAAAGTCATAAGCAGTTTTCAGAAAAGCAGCTCCAAAGTGAGGTAAGTGATTCTTTCTTCTTTTTGTCATCTTGTTAACAATTATCTGTGTACCTGTGCAGGTTGCTGTGCAGATAGTTAGGGGAATGCTTTGCACTTTGCTGGTTTTTATAACTTACAGAAACAAGGAAGCAACAACAAACTTCAGCCAACCAAACAACCTGAGTAATGGCTCGTTTCAAGCCATTAAGTTGTCAGTGCTGACTTTCACAGGTTTTGCTGGACCTGAAGAACACTTAGAAAAGAGTATTCAAACAATTCATTATTCTACTTTTAAGAATTACTCTCTCTTTTTTCCTCTGGATTGCTTTAGGTTGAGCGTTCTGCCCAGTTAAAGACCCAATTGTTGGACTCTGAAGCCACTGTGAGGAAGTTAAATGTGCAGGTTGAAGATCTGAAACTACAGTTGAAACAAACACAGGCAGGTTTGTGTCTTGTACTAAATAAGTCCTTTGTGAAGTCTGCTTACCTAATCAATGTAAGAAATTCCAGATTCTGAGAAAATCCTTCAGTTAAAATATTGCCATGGAGTGTGTTTCAAGTTTAAAATTAAAATCACAATTACAACTGCATTTTCAGAAAACAAATGCATAGGAGGAAGAGGAAAAATGTTCTTGGAACACTTACGTTCTTTTTGTTGTCTCTGTTTCAACTCAGGATAAAGACATTAATGTCTGGTGATAACATAATCACCTTTTTTTTTCACAGGGGTGAATTGTGTTTTAATGCATTTTGATTCGGGGATGTTCATAGTAAGAATATTTGTATTTCATAGCTCACAATTTAAATCTAACTTTTAAATAGTTGTTGCCAAAACTAATAACTGAAGCACCTCGTACAGACATGAGGAAGGAAAATATATTTTGTAAGGCAATTCAGTCTGCTGAAGAAATGTAATTCTAAAGATGCCTGTCAAGTTGCTGCTATCAAGCATGATAACTTTCATTTTTTGTACATGTAAATAAATTAAAAACGTGGAATCGAATTCTGCAATGATTATACATTACATAGAAAATGTTGCACCATAGTTCAGTATGTGCAATACTTTCTGTTATTCACTAGACAAATATGTATATTTTCATATATGGCATAACTAACAGTACCGTTTGTAATCAGAAATTCACCAGTGTCAAAATAACAAATATATTTTAATTTAATGAAGAAGTTCTGCTTGGAATTCCATTTTGCAGCTTTGTTAACAATGTTATTGAGGAACCATTTAGATCAAATAAAAATAAAGTGGTAATTTTGCTTAGAAAGATGGGTCTTTAGGGCATACTGAAACAAGCAGGCAAAGCAGGAAGCTGACAGTTCTGAAAATTTCAATGTAACTGATTATTTTTGAGGAATACTTTTTATGTTTTTATTATTTTAATAACCCATTTGTATGTGTTGGGTTACTTTTCCTAATTTCTTTTTGATCTAAATGGAGGCAGACTTTTAGCCTAGCTTGTGTCCTGCGCACTGTAATAACGTGATTGGATATACTGCATCCAAAGGGGTGACATTTTGTTTCCTTTTTTAAACACAATTGAATTAATGAAAACAAAAAAACTGTTTAGTTAGAATATATTTATAAGATAGAGCTCTACATGGAAGAATTGCATCTGAAGTTAATTAAATTGATGATAATTTGCAGCTATGCGGCTACATAAAAATACATTTAAACCAGTACACTGAATTCTCAGAATTTGAATAAAGCCATTTTAAAATTATTTTGATGAAAGAAAGTGCCATGTGTTATTACTTCTGATTAGTAATGGATCTGTCTCTCTCTTTGTCTTAAATGTCACTCGCATTCTTAATCTGGAAGCTCTGGAAAATGAAGTGTATCGGAATCCCAAGCCTTCGCTCGTTGATCGCTCTGTCATTGACCTCATTGATGATAGGATTGTACCTCACGATATTTATACAGATAGCATATTCCTGAAGAATCCCATTGTGAGTGATGTCGTCAAGGGAAGTCCTGTGCCAAGAGCTGGCTGTCACCAGCAGTTACAGACACGTAGTGCTTCTCCAGATTCTGACCTGGAGTGCATGGCGCAAACCTGGGCTAGAATAAAAGAACTAGAAAAAGAGGCAGAGTATTTGGAAGAGGCCTACAGAAACTACCAGCATAGGATAATGCAGGATACAGCTGCGAGCAGAACACCAAGAAAGATGAAGTCCCCTTTACCTCTCCAGTGTGCTGTTAGTAGAGTCCCCTTGACTATGCAGTGTGAACTTTTGGAGGATAATCCTGGCTCCCAGCATTCTCCTCTGAGCAGTCCAATAGGTGAAAAATACGTTGGAAGACATGGGCAGCCTGATGCCTTTAAAAATCCTTCAACACCACCACACAAAGGAGTGCCTCCTTCTAAATGCCGTTCTTCTACTCCTGTTTACAAATTGGAAAGAGTTCTCAATAACAAGAACTGTTCAGATGGTAAGTTACAATCGTCATTATGGGATCTGATTGGAGTTCCTCTTGCATGACTCAAAGAGAAGGGTTTAGCACTGGTTATCTTTCACTCATCAGTTTATTTCCTAAGGAGCAAGACAATCATAGCCCTTAGCAGGGATCACCTGCTCCAGCCCCTGCCCCAGCAGGGCATCCAGAGCAGGGTGCCATCCTCACGTACAGGTGGCTTTTGGAGATCTCCAGGGAGGAGACTGCAGCCTTTGAGCAGCCTGGGTTAGTGCTCCATCACCTGCAAAGCACAGAAGTGCTGCCTGGTGTCAGAGAAAGTCGGAGACAGGATGTGCTAGCTGTTAGGATTATCCATTCTTTGTGGAAACAATCAGTGAAGAAATACATGGAGAGAGGCTACATGCACTGCTTTTAGTTCAGGTAGTTTTAAAGATAAGGCTATTTCATCTCATTCACGACATGTGTAATCCAATTATATATAGAGATTGTTTCAAAAGTTACTGCTCAGTATAACTGCATTGGAACACTGCTAGAACTGGTTAATTGTGATTAATCTTCTACCTATATTCTTACCTTTTCACGTAGTTACTGCAGTTTCATGTGCGCAGCAGAAGGCTGCATCATCTGGCTTCCATTAGATTCTCTTTTTCAACCTGACGGGTGTAGATTTGCTTTTTTTCTATTGGCTGTGGCATTGTTACCAATATTCCTGAGCAGTTGTAAGGGAGAAAGGATTAGTGTTTGCTCTTGAGTTTGGAATATTTTAGTTTGCTATTAGTGCCTAAGAATTGTTCAGTAACTTTTTTTAAGTGGCAGTACTCAGAAAAGCGAGTGAAATAGAAAACAATTGAAGATTTTGAAGAAAACATGTTCTTCTGTTTCAAATCTGCAGTACATCTGCTTCTTGAATCATGCAATTCTTGTCGTTCTATATCAAAATGGATTTAATAGAATGAAAAAAATACTAACAAAAATACTAAGGACAGCTTCTATATAAAAGAAACACGAGAAGGGTAACTAAGTTTGGAAGTGTTGGGTGAAATGAGCTGGTGGAAAATATGGATAGCAGTGAGTGATGTGGAAGGGGCAAAAGGGGATTGATTGATCATTGCTTCACAGACCACAGAATCCTATGATGTTTAAAGAAAACAAAAGGAAGTGCTTCTCCATATCATGAATAATTTGTGGAATTTATTGCTTCTGTGGCAACAGAACTAAATGGGAAAATAAAACATCCCTATTGGGAGGGCCTGGAAGGTGGTGGTGGTGGTAGGGGTTTGTGGCTAGAGGCGAGATATCCCTGTTCTCATTTTCCTTTCTCCAAACATTTAATAACAGACATTCTTGGAAATATGCTACATCTGAACTATTGTGGCTCTCCTTGTGTTTAAACTCCTCTAGCAGTTTAAAAAGAAAAAAATATGTGGTTTCTTCAGTACGTTCCTAAATTCTTCAGATAAGCTTCATCAGGTCTTGCCACCTCCAACTTTGCTAAGTATATTAACTATACTCTCTCTTTCCTTGTTTGTTTGTTTGTTTGTTGAGCTACTGTCTGCTTCCAGAATTAACAGCATCCCATTTGTCATAGTGTTGTGAAGGCTGAAGCAAATAAGTGACTTTTTTACTTCTTTTTCTTTTATCATGGAGTGGTGGACCTGTCTTCTCCTATTATTACTTACTTATCTGTTAAAGCACTACTGCGTGACAAAAGCACGAGTTCCTGGAGTGTGTTTTGAAATAGCTTTTTGTTTCAGAAAGAAGGAAAATGAGTAGAGAATTAGAGATTTTTAGATGAAGTTTTCATTTTCAAGAAGAAGAAATAAATAATAGGACAATGGATTTAGAAGAGGAAAGCTTTTAAAAAGCTAAGGAAACTGGTGGCAAAGTGTGTTGTGAAGATGCTGAAAGAGAAGATGAGCTGCAAGTTATTTGGCAATCTGGACAACAGACTATTCAAATTAGAAAGAGAGACATTTATAGTGAGACATCAGTGCAGATTGATCCTGTAGCTCTTAAATATCAGGAAGTGCAAAAAGTAACACAAAGGATACATGAGTGCAAATAAATATGAAAGTCATTGAGGCCCTGGAGCATGCCTAGAAAAGGGCAGCAAAGCTGTGAGCGGTCTGGAGCACAAGTCTTACGGGGAGCAACTAAGGGAGCTGAGATTGTTCAGTCTGGAAAAGAGGAGGTTCAGTGGAGACCTCATTGCTCTATAAGTGCCTGAAAGGAGGCTGTGGTGAGGTGCAGATCAGCCTCTTCTCCCAGGTAACAGCGATAAGATGGGAGGTGATGGCCTCAAGTTACACCAGGGGAGGTTCAGATCACATGTTAGGAAAAAATTTCTTCTCAGAAAGAGTGGTGAGGCAGTGGCACAGGCTGCCCAAGGAGGTGGAGTTATCGCCCCTGGAGGTGTTTAAGAACCATGTGGATGTGGCACTGAGGGATGTGATTAGTGGGTGCTATTGGTGGTAGGTGGGCAGTTGGACTAGCTAATCTGAATGGTCTTTTCTAACCTTAATGATTCTGTACTTCTATAATTCTACCATTTGCAAGCTTGATTAAAAGCCTTTTTAAGCATTGTTAGTTGTTTTTTTTGCCTTGGTTTCCATGGAAGCTCAAGGCTTCTCCTGTCATAAGGGATAAGATCTTCAAAATTTTTCTTCTTTCCTTTATCATCCATTTTCATTAATCTGTAGAAAATGAATGTTCCACTTTGTTTCCTAATGAAGAATAGCCTTTGAGAGACCTCAAGCATTCTCTTTTTCTGGTCTAGTATGCACATCGCTAGTTTTAAATACAGATCAGCTGTCTTCACTTGATGCCCAGAATGGGAGAAATTCTTAGGTATTTGGCAGAAGGGTTGGATTTTGTGAGGAACAGGAAAGTATTATGAGGAGCTGTTAATCATAGGCCTCGTGAGCAGAAAATTTATGACAGCAAAGTATTGTAGAGGAGAATTCAACTACAGGGGAAAAAAATAGAAACAGGACTTGGGTAGCTGTACACATGAGAAAGTGATTTATTTAAAGGCATCACTGCTTAAAAGTCATTTGAAAAATTGAAATGTTGTTTATTTGTGAGAGGGAGGAGAAGGGGCAGGCTGGGAGGGTGCTTTTGGGTCACAAGCAGATCTGAAATGCCAGACTGTTTTCCAGACAAAGTTGCTCTGCTTTTGTCAGATCCTACACTGCTGGAAATAAACAGTACGAGAAAATTCGTATTGCTTACAGAATTGGATGTTAGCAGCCCTGCAGTGGTAGTGCATGCACAGTGCAGTTATACATGGTTTGTGGAAACCAGACTTATCTGACAAGTCGAAGGATGAATAAATGATTAATACAATTTGTGTGTTGTTTTTTTCTTATTGTGCAGGCACCAGTGACTCGTACCTTGCCTCTTCCCAGCAGAGTGTCGATCAGGTGCTTTCTCCTATTTCAAAACCACGCATTCTTTCACGTTCTGAGTCTCCTTCTTCCTCACCATCCAGTCATGGAGAAAAAATTAGGTAATTTCATTTACAAAGCAACATTTTAACCTGCTTTTTAAGGAGAAAAAAACCCACAAAACATAATGGTGGTAGCTGCTTTTACAATTCAAATAAGCCATGAATTTTATGTCATAACTTCTCTAAGGGTGGGTAACATTTCCCTCCTTAGAATATCCTCTCCCTTTCACATTTTCCATATAAAACTTCTCATGTGTCAGTGCTCTGATGAACTTCTGAATGCTTTGGATGCTGTTCTTTAAAACAAAGTGTGGTGTGGGTCATCATGTTTCAAAAACGCTGCAGGATGTAAATCTATAGTGTCAGTTAGGCCTTCTGTTTGATTTTATTTCCTTACACAGTAAACCACTTTCAGGCAGCTGAATAAAAGATTCATTACTAATAAATTATGTGAAACAAGTAGATGTAAACGTAATTCTAGCAGTTTGCTTTCACGAGCTGTATTGGGATTTGACAGATGTGACTCTTCAGTGGGCTTCTGCATCATCCATGTACGTATGAACCTGATAAGACTAACAGTAATTTCTGCTGATGTTGTCGACTAACATGAAAACAAACCTCATTTCATAAGACAGTTGACTCTTTAGAGGGATACACTTCATCAAGCTGTAATGCTAACATGTTCTTTTCTACTAAAATCATATTAGTGTGCCTGCAGTACTTTTTCCGGAATAAGAATTTGCAGTTGTCTTTGCATGTGTGATGAGTAGCAGAGCTTTTCTCTTCTTTTTTGTATTTTAAGATCTTTGCTGAGTAAATGAATAACTCTGAAAAAAGTTGCTGCACAGAGATCTTCTCTTTTTTTTCTGTCTTTCTTATTTCTGTATATAAAATTCTTCTGTAACTAGTGGTTACCAGTGCCTCCACTTTCCAAGACTGAAAAATCTTGATTCTTCAGTAAAAGCTCAACTGTTTAGTATCTGATGTGGAAAAACATCAGGAAAAAAACACTTGAATCAGTGTCTTGCTTGCCATCGTTCCAGATTTTATTGCTGTAGAAAGATAGTTGTGCTAGGGCAGCTCTAGTGGTCATCCGTAGGGCTCTTATTTTCTTACTTAATATGCATTTAGTGTAGAGACAATCTCTCCTGTAGTTAGAATTTCAGAAAAGCCTTTATGTTCTTGGCCTGGAAAAGAAGCTATTGAGATTTTTAGGGACTGTGAGATTAATTCTGACGTTGGTGTTTGCCTTCCCGTGGCTCTCCTTCGTCTGTTCATTCACATTTTCTACAGCATGCATCAGGTTTGCTGTATTGCTGTGACAGAACTTAGAAAGGGAATGTTGAGTGGTAACTTACATGTTAGGGTTTTATGGGAAAATTCTCCAATGCTGTGAGGAAATGTACTTCTCTGAAGGGCATTGGAGAGTCTGAACTACAAAAAGGAATCCGCTGTGGGAACAGTAAGCAGTATGACCAAGTTGTGTTACAGAGAATAGGCAGTGGGTGGTGGCTGCCTTCTTGGGTTCCTTGCGACAGATCAAGGATGTGTGGTCCCAATAGCTTTCTCGGACTTCTGCTTTCCCAAGACATCTTTAAAGGGAAAATGTTGTTTTGTTTAGGATTTTGGAGGGTTTTTGTGCGTTGTGCTATTTTTCTGTTGCTTTAAGTATTTGAGAAATGCCATGTGTGGGCTTCTCCACTTACTTACTGCCATTATTAGGCAAAAGCCACATTACTGATGTCTACTGTGGGATTAGTTTTATGACCTGCAGATTTTAAGTGACGATGGGAACCTAAGTGAAAAGAGAAGGAAAGATGCTGTTATAACACCAGTAAACCATTAAGTTCGACTTCTGACAGTGGGGAAGAACAACTGCTTCTCTGATCAGGACCTTCTTGTTTATTTATATTTCAAAATATGAGCAGTATGAAGAAGCCAGTAAATACAGACAGGAAGACCGGAGTTACAAGGCAGATGAATTATCTGACCATTCCTTTTTCATATATGGCTGAAGCTGACTGAGGCTTGGTAGTGGTTTTAGGCTTAAAGTAATTTCATACGCTAACAAAATAGTTAAGATGGTGTTCGTTGCTTTTTGTTTGTAGTTTAATGGTCATTTTGAGCTTAACTCTTGCGATTTATTTGGTGTAAATGGGGCAGCCTAGCAGCTTGTACTGAATATGTATCATTATGGGGGTATGGTATTTTCATTCTCTGCTTTTAGCCCTATGGAAGGCCTGAACTGCTTAGAAATTCTAAGCACAAACATATTTGTGGAAGGATGAAAAGCAACAGCTGGTGTGTAGTAAGCTCCTTTATACAGCGCCGCTGATGAATTGGTGACCTGCACTACTTTTGCTATTCTGATTCTGGTCAGTTTAGTAGAAGGGTCACGTGGGAGATACCGTTCTTTCACATCATCTTTCTGATTAGATAAACGGGGATTTAGAATGAGGGCACTAACCCCATTTCTTATTGAATTTTCACCCCTGCATATATGTTTTGCCAGACACGTAATCCTAATACATTTCAAACACATCTGTTCAAATGACATCGAAGTGGGAATTAGTTGAACACAAAACCAAAAGGAGGCTTTTTTTTTTTAAATTTCGGTTGACTGTGTGTCACACTGTTGCATTTCTATTGTTTCAGTCCAATGCCTTTATGTCATGTGCAGGTCTTGGGGAAAGGCTGTAGGGGCATTGCCTTATAGCAGAGAGCTGTCATTTGGTAGAAGTTAGAGAAGTGTATTTCAGACCATAACTTTGGAGGCAGAAAGCTGCAGCGTTTTGCTTGCATGAGTTTCACATATGGTTTAATGGGTTGCTATGCATGTAAGTAAACCTGTATTTAAACCTCAAACTGCTCTTTGCTTAAAAGTTGTATTTTCAATTATTTACTTTCTTCCTCCTCCTTTCAGGCTTCAGAGTCAACGGATAGATAACCAAGATTTCAGTGATAGTCCCAAACCAGAGAAGCTAGTATATGAGGACCTTGAAGAGCACATTTCTCCTCTTGAATGTAAGTTTTAGTGCAATTTTAGACAGTTTATTTAACACCGTAGGGCTTAAGAGTTGCAAGATGATTGTCTTGACAGTTTAAAACTGTACCTGGAAAGGAGAAATTCCAGCTCATGCTCACCTGGCTCAGGTGATGAGTTTTTTCTTCTTATTTGCATTTTTAGAAAAGGGTACAGAGTAATAAATAGATGCTAAATTCTAGTTGGTTATGAAATTTGGGAACATTCTTGTTCAGAAGTCTTGCATAACCTTGTTTTGATTAGTACATGTCAGTCTAACACTTGCTTCAGAATGCTTTAAAATTGTGAGGGTTTTTGCTTGTTGGTTTGTTTTAAGGAAAGTATGCTAAATGTGTAAACTAACCTGTGGCCTTATTGTATTTACTGCATAAAACAAAATCAGAAGGAGTGTTTTTCATTGACAATATTGGAGCAGTATTACCATGTTGTAATTCTGCAGATACATTTCTGGAGCCATTACTACTCTTGTTGAGTTTTCGTTCAGTAACTGAGGCTTAGGTTATGAGTTAGAAGTTACTTTTGAAGTATGTATAAATGCACAAGGAACACTTGAAATTGTTTTGGCATTAATCAGTGTCTTAGAGTATGTTTGGAACATGGCTAAGTTTCTGAAACACAATTAGCTAAGTTTCTGAAACAAATCTTTTTATTTGTTTGTTTGTTTGTTTAATTTTTTTTTATCTACTTTGCTGGCAGGGAGACTTTTGTCATAGTGTTGTGTTTCATGTTGAATGCTGCAGAAATGTTTTCTTTTTTTTTATGCACTGGAGTCAGTTGTAGAAAATTTCATGTGGAAGTAAGGTACTGCAGAAAAAAGAGAATAATAAAAGTTAATGTACTTTATTGCCATTTGTATGGCAATAGAATATGCCATTTGTATGGAAATAGAAGCACAGTTATGGGTTTAATTTCCTGGTTTCTTCTTAGTTCTTCCTAGTTTGAAGAACCTATTAATGGTGGGCCTGAGCAGCTTTATCTCCTTTTTTTTTTTAGCTGATACCAACTCCACCTTTTCTCTGGCCATTTCCTATCTTACTATCTCCTATGGAAACATGAGTTTAACTTAAGTAAAATTTTCAGTGAGAAGGATGTGAATAGTATGCTTTAACACCTTCCTCATTTCCAAAATTCATCATGTCTATAAAGTCTTGAGACTGACAGATGTCACTGGATCATACATCATTCACAAACTGATAGTGAAGAGCTGGTTGTTATACGGGAGACAGAGAACAACTGAGTTTCAAGAAAATATGCTTCACTGGTGTGTCTTCTCAAGTTGCTTTCACATTAGAGATTTTTGGGAACACATTTCAATTTTACTGTGTCACATATGTGAATGGACCAGCATTTTCTTGGCTGCTGGGCCTGAGTACCTGCTGTGCCCAAATAACTTATTACCAGTGTATCATTCAGTGGCACATGGTAGTCAGTAGGAACGATATTATGAGTTTGCATATACCAATGATTTCTAAATTAACAGTACTTTAGTTGAGTCAGACTGCCTGAATTCTCATGATCTACAAGGCAAATCAGAATGGCTAAAAAGGGGGGACAGTAACTTGGGAGAAATTAGGAGGGAAGAACGTAAAATCCAAGTAAACATAATATATAAGATATGAGAGGGGAAGAAAGGAAGTTGGTGAGAGTACAAAAAAGTCAATGGAGTGAAGGAGATACCACAGAATATGGGGCCCCTGCTTTTGGAGCGGGTCCAGAGGAGGGCCGTGGAGATGAACAGAGGGCTGGAGCACCTCTCCGTGAGGACAGGCTGAGAGAGCTGGGGCTCTTCAGCCTGGAGAAGAAAAAGCTCCTAGGGAACCTTGAAGTGACCTTCCACTACCTGAAGGGACCCTACAGGAAAGCTGGGGAAGGACTTTTTTGAAGGGCATGTAAGAAGTAGGATGTGGGGAAGTGGTTTTAAACTGGAAGAGGGTAGATTTAGACTACATATTACGAAGAAGCTCTTTACAGTGAAGGTGGTGAGACACTGGAACATAAGTTGCCCAGAGAGGCTGTGGATGCTCCCATCCTAGAGGCATTCAAGGCCAGGCTGGATGGGGCTGTGAGCAACCCGGTCTGGTGGGAGGTGTCCCTGCCTATAGCAGGGGGTTGGAACAAGGTGATCTTAAAGGTCCCTTGCAGTCCAAACCATTCTATGATTCTATGGTATTAAGGTGACAGAAGAGAATGTGGAAAGCCTTGTAGCCATATTTTGAGTGAGCTTGTCGTGGTTTTGTGATTTTTGGTTATTGGTATTGCACATCATAACATCATGTAGTGCACTGGGAGTTAGTGTTAATACTCCAGGTCTGGGCACCCGTCTGGAAGAGAAGAAGGGGCTTTACGGTCAGAGAGGAGATATAATCCCTGGCAAGGTCACCTGATGTGCTCTTCTTTGTCTGCTCTCCTCCCTGCTGCTCAATCAGACTGTGCATCTCACCTCAGTGTTATGGTGAGGCCTATCCACCTTTTGGACGCTCTCTCTCATTATATTTGAGACAGAGCTTTAGCAAGAACTGGTTGGGTGTCGGCTGCAATTACTTTTAGTTATGTGCTAGTCTTAAAGACGTAATGCATCTCTTTCTGTCCATCTTGACAGAAAGGAATGAATATGTATGAGGAAGTTTGTATTTTTTTTCACTGCACAGTAACCATGGTTCTTACAGTACTGTTTTGTCTGTTTTTCCTGCTTATGCAGTCAACAGACTTGTAGAAATTAGAAATAGAAATTAGATGTTAATATTTAACAAGAATCTATTTGTGATAGGATTCTTTTTTATCTATTTCAACATTGCAAATACTCTGAAACATACCAATGCTTCACAGGGGAATAATTTTGCTGTTGAAAACCTTATAATTTAAACCTGAAGAGAGAAGGAAGTGAAATAATAAAGGAAAACATTTTCTTTTGAGTGTAATAATCCATTATTATGGTCTTATGTAAAACATACAGAATTGAGTTGCCTCAGCAAAGCTGGTAGCATCTCTTGCTGCTTGTGTAAAAAGCTGAAAATATTCTCATCCATACCAGAAAGATTGTGGATGCCCCATCCCTGGAGGTGTTCAAGGCCAGGTTGGATGGGGCCCTGGGCAGCCTGGTCTAGTATTAAATGTAGAGGTTGGAGGCCCTGCCTGTGGCAGGGGGGTTGGAGCTTCATGATCCTTGAGGTCCATTCCAGCCGAAGCCATGCTATGATACCAGTGCTAGGCTGACACTTCGGCATAACTTTTCTGTGATGCCTTCGTCGAAAATTCCTGTACAGTAATTTTAATTGAAGAGATTCAGACCACGTTGAGAGAGAAACTGCTCAGTTTGGATGTGTTGTCATCATACAAAATACTTCAGTACTTACTGCAACGTGGAAAAATGTTTGAAACCTTGATAATATCTAGGCCTTGACCCAAAATGTAAGGAGATACGTGAGGTATCTGTACTGCATTACATGAAATGTTTGGAAAAATGGTTCTGTGTATTTTGGGTTGGCTGCCCACCACAAGTGGCAACATTTTGCAGTCTCCTGTAATGCTGGGATAATAACAGTTTGTGTATTTTGCAAATAAATCATGAAGATGGAATTGAGTACGATAGGGGAAGTACAGCAGTTGCCTTTTTTTTTTTTTTTTTATTCAGAACCATTTTTCACACGTGAAAGTATAATGCAGAGTATTTGAGTTAACATTATCCATCCTGTGCCCTGAAGAAGGCAAAGATCCTAATAAAATATGGGATAAAGTAATTAAAAGTTGTTTTGTGTGCATGAAATGGATGAGTTAAGTTTGGACGTGTAATTTTTCTGCGATCCGTGTCACGATTATGTAAAGAAATGAAAACACTTTGGTTTTCTATTATATATTTATTCATGATTCTGTTTTGGCTTTGTAAACAGATGCGTTCCAATAGCTAATTTAAAAACTAACAATTCGGTAATTAAATAAGCAAGCACAGCCTCTGATAATTCTTCATCCTCAGGGACATGGTCAAGTTGGAAGGAAAATGCTCAATTAGTGCTTATATTTATGAGCTCTAATGCAGCCATTCCCACACTTTGTGTCCATTCCTTTGCTCTGCTATTGTGATTACAGAATAATGAAGCCATTGTTCGCATTTCTTCTCCAGATCAGGGGGACATTCCAGAGCAGTGTGAAAGTGATGTCTTGCATCCATCTGGGGACACTGTCAATGGAAACCATGTCACAGCCACTGTGCGAGCAACAGCCACTTCGCCGCAGGACTTGAGTGAGTTCTCAGCTCAGAAACAAAAGTGAATGCCCCTTTTAGATGTCCACTGCGCAACACAAAAAGCTAAATATTGAATGTTCTGTAGGTCTGGGTGCTAAAGTGATTGAAAACTTTTCCCAAAAGCGTTATGCAGTAAAGAAGAAGGAATGTTTTCTTTTGCTTTACTCCACGAGGATGACTTTCGTCGCCCTAATTTTGGTTAAACGTGTTTTTAATTAAAAGATTTTTATACTGTCTTCCCCCCTCCCTTCTTTCTCCAACTACTTCAGAGAGGATTTTGATTTTTCTTTTCACCTTTTTTTAGAATGATTATTAAATATTGTCTCTATTCTTGGGTATTTTCTGTACTGTATGTGTGGACTATTTCTTTCTTTCTCTTGACTCCATTCACAAACTGTGTTATCACAACACTGATTTAATTCTTTGGGTGGATGGAGGTGATTCCAGTGCAGCATATGCAGCTTTTCTAATTGTGCTGGATAGCAACACTTATTTTTATCAAGAGCTTGCTAGCTTCTAACATAGCCCAATTTTTGGTTTGCCCATCAAATTGCCATCTGAATGCTGTTCCACTTATGTGGCTTTTCAATATACTGGTCACATAGGCAGTCCATCTTGCAGTAATGTTAAGAGATTTTTAAAGTACTTTGCTTTATAAAGAATTAGATCCAACCACATTGCTGAGAGGGAAAGGATATATAGCATGGGCTGTAAGGTAACAGATTTAATGAGAAAGTTCAAGATTGGAATGAGAATTGCAGAGAGAGATTTGTCAGCTCTGCGGCCCCCACTCGGGCTCTCCTGTTCAACTCTTGGGCAGTCATACATCAGGCTGAAATGTATTGAAGTGGAAAAAAACCACTGTCAGATATATAACTGTGGTGTACGTTAAAAAAAAAAAAAAAAAATCCAGTTGTTTTTCATTTACCCTTAATGCTATCCAGGAACCTGTAACTTACTTGAATGCTACTGTAGTAGATTACAGAAGTATATATAAATCATATCAGAGAGGTTGAAATAATTTTTCACAGCTGTGTTGGATCGAAGAGAGACTCAAGAACAAAATACAGAAGACAAACACTGGGAAGATGAGAAGAAAGCTGGAAAAGAAAGGAGAGAGGGAGAACAACAGGGAAGAGGGGAAAGGGAGCAAAATGAAATGGAAGAGCTGAAGAACGAGACGGTGATTAAATGTTTTAATTTCTGACAGTAATGGGGCTTTGTACTGCCATGTTATTTTAGATGTTAGAATAGATGTTGGTTAGAAATAGATTTTATTCTTTTGTTTTGTTTTGTTTTTTAGATGAAAGTAGTAGAGGCAAAGTTCTTTAATACATTTGTATGACTAACCAAAGGATCTTGCTAGAATCATAGAATGGCCTGGGTTGAAAAGGACCACAATGATCATCTACTTTCAACCCCTCTGCTATGTGCAGGGTCACCAACCACAAGACCAGGCTGCCCACATCCAGCCTTGATCATCCAAGCTAGAGCTTGTTATGCCAAGTAACTTTTCCACTGAAAATGGATGCTTTTTATTCCACTCTTCATGGAAATGATTCATGTTCATACAGTTTCATATTGAGAATGCAAATGTCACCAGCTGACAAGTGATACACTTGTCATCTATCTGGTCTGCACTTGCTGCTGTGTGACATCACCAGAACGTCTTAATGTCCATCTGTTCATTAGCCTTTATCCCCATGAACACCTTTAACTGGGGTGTTCATGGAGAACAGGTTATAAGACGACTGTATGGAGTTTAAATCCTTTTGAACTGATGAGCACATACTGAAATAGCATTTTTTGGGGGCCTTTTGGGTACTGTATAGTGTTGCCTTTTTTGTTCCTCCCCTCCCCCCCCGCCTTTCTTCTTCCTCTTCCCACACTTAAGAGATCAGTTAATTCACTTCAGTGAATTACACAGCCTCTCAGTGTCAGCTCATCTTCTTCAGTCCACATGCAGTTGTCCACCTCAGCCCCGTTCTTCGGCCATAGAGAGAAGCTGGGACCTCAGTCCTCAAAGCATTGCAGGTATCCAGACAGAGAGGGTTTTCTTGAATGATGCTTCTTGAACTTGATCTTGAACTGCATGTAGCAAACGTAATGCTGTTTACACTGGCATATTTCACTAAGTTTAGCATAAAGCCCTGCAGGTGTTTAGGTGTAAAGGTAATTTTTGACCTGATCAGTATTTAATTTTGATTTATTATTATTTTTTTTTGTCTTAAAGTTGATCCAGGACTCGATGAAAATTGATGAAGATAAGGGAGAAAAATGTGAAAGCAATAACTCTGGTGTTGAAGAAGTTGTAAAGGATTCTACTCCAAACCCATTAGAAAAATACATGAAAATAATTCAGCAGAGGAGAGAGCAGGAACTGGCACATGAGGTGATTATTCTTAAAAGGGGCCCTCAAAGTATTAATATATTTTTAGGTATCAGTGTTTAAGCATAAATGTGCCCTCAATTTTTAAAATCCTGTGTTGTTTAAATATGGTATTTTGAAATCCTAATTAAAATGCAGCAGTTTGGATCTATAAAGGTCAGTCTGCGTTCCACTACCACAGATGACCATATTGACAGCTCGAGGATGGAAGGTTTAGATTGGATGTCAGGGGGAATTTCTTCACAGAGAGAGTGGTGAGGTGCTGGAACAGGCTGCCCAGAGAGGCTGTGGATGCCCTATCTCTGGAAGTGTTCAAGGCCAGGTTGAATGGGGCCCTGGGCAGCCTGGTCTAGTGCCAGATCCAGAGGTTGGTGGCTCTGCCTGTGGAAGGGGGGGTTGGAACTTGATGATTCTTGGGTTTCCTTCCCGCAAGCCATTCTGTGACAGAATTCAGCCTGGCAGAAAGAGAAATATGGCCTGACAGAGCAAGCACATGGGTAAACACAACTTCTATGCAAACTGCTGCATAATTCAGTCACTATCCCAGACTGTTTTTCCAAAGCTCTGTTATTCTACATGCAGTTCATTGGCAAAAAATGAACTAGCTCTTCCAGGTGATTTTTATTTTCAGATTGGTGCCCTAAAGAGCAGAAGCAATTATTAATCGCTTAAACCTTGATTTAAGAATCGGTTACAAAAAGTGTGTTTTTCTCTTGGCTGCCAGGATTCAAAAAAAGAAGAAATACAGGATGTATCACTCATAGAGGGAATCACATCTAGCGAGAAAGACGACAGGTAAGGATCATACATTTCTTCTAACAACTTCTGTTAATAAATACAGCGTGAATTAGGGCTAAGAAGAAATCTACCTCTCAAAAAGCAAAATAAAAAGCAGTAAGCTAGTAGTAAAAAGTAAAAATATTGGAATAACTGAGGATCGATTCTCTCAATTTTTATATAGGTAAGTTGTGAAATTAGAGTCTAGGAACCTACATTCCGTGATCTGTTTCAATAGCTGTTGCAATTAAAACTTATCTGCAATGGAGCAGTGTCTCAGTTTCTTTATATAGAACTGAAGCCTGAGGGATTCTTTTTGGGTAATGACCCAATGAAAGTGTGTCTATGCTGTACCTAGCAGGTAGTCTGTTATTTGCATTGCCTTCAGCTTTGATTTATTGGAAGCATCGTGGACTTCTGACAAACTAGTTCACACGCTATTTCAGAGAGGTTTCTGACAGCCTGTGCATGTCCTACATTTCCTGTGGGTTACCTCTAGAGATCAATAAATAAAGATACGTTGCCTTTAGTTCTTATATGAGGGATAAATATCTCCATGCAAGGGGAAAAATATCTCTCCCAATCCAATATTTTGATTTATTTGAAGATGTACAAGTGAAAATGTTTCTAAGGAAAAAGTAGAGTGCATTAAAAAATTACTTATATATATGATTCGGTATGATCTGTCTGTCCCTTTGAAGTGCTGTTGTACATAGCAGCACCTACGTTGGTTCTCCTGAATTACACCTGCATGGTGTTCTTTTCAGTGGGTGAGTACTACAGAAGTATGAGATGGGAATGCCAATGGATAGGGGAGGTGGCCCAGACCCTCACTGCTAAATTGCTTACTCAATTCATAGGAACAGCACAGATGGACATCAACTAAAGTGGTGGTTATGTGCAGGCTCTTAAATTGTGTTGAACTTTAAAATTCCACTTTAAATCAAACATATATTTAAAATAAGAAGCTACTTAAGACTCATACCATATTTTCCTCCCCTTCTGTCCCACATACAGTGCTGCAGGCATTTCTCATGGAGACGATGATGACAACTTCTGGTGAACAACAGCAATTGCTTGGGTTTTTGTTTTTAACTACAATAAAAATGTTTTTAAAACACCTTTCTGACTGTGAAGTAAGTCATAATAAGCCCTAGGCCCAGGAATTGCAAGCTGTGCAGTTACAAATGAATAAAGCTGATATTGAAGTCCCACTGCTTCAGTCACTGCACTCTAAGAGTTCCGATGCATTACTGATGCAGGTGGAAGAGGAAGCAGTGTAAATTGGTGTGTCCAGGTGAATGGCCTTGGCCTTGAATCTCTAGAGTCTCCTACAGCTTTTGAGGTGTTGTTCCTCCCCTCCCACCCCCTTCCTCACCACTTACCAACTGCAGGTCAGGGGGATAACCAAACTTTTTGTTATGTATACACACTGTTGCATGTTTTTAGAGGTATCTGGTGGAGACCCTTGGCTTGCGTGACTGAACCATGTACGTTAACTTGCTCGTTACTGCTGCAGCAGCAGAAGTGAACACTTCTAAAGCAGCCTTTATCACATGTCTCACTTTGTTGATATTCACCAGCCCGGAATGGAGAGATTCAGATAAAAATGCTATTTGACTCATCTTTATTTAAGCTTTGCATTTTGTAGGTGGAGTAAAGGCAAGATTGTTAAACTTTATTTACAGTATAAAATACAGTATTTTTATCAATGGAGTAATTCTGGGTGGCAGCATCTAGTACAACTGGCAGTGTGCTGAGGCTGCTTCTCCTCCCCTACCTTAGAAGAACGTGAAGCCCAGTTTGCCAGAATATAGGAGCAAACCTGAAGGTCTGCCTTGAATTCATATGGATTCCCATAAATGAGACATACTTGACTTTTTGAAATTGAGATTAAAAAACTAACTTTATATGCTGCCAAATTTGACAAAAAGAGCTTCATTTTGTCTGCTGTCAGGGAGGGGATGGATAGTGCTTGTTGCTTTACGCTGACCTGGAACAACTACCAGTACTCTGTGCTAAGAAAACTCACTGACTTACCATGCTGAAGCACACACCTACAGGGCAGCCTCCTGCTATGCATTACCCACAAATGGACAACAATGAACAGAATGTGCTTCACTTCAGATAGAGATAATAAAACAGATGCGCTGGTATAGAGTAGCTACAGGTCTGTTTAAAATAAGCATACCACGAGTGTTGTCTATTATCTACAAATATTTATTTTAACACTTGGATGTAACTACAGGAAGCCCTTGGCACTGATAGAAAATATTGATTCACTGTTAGGTTACAAAAATTTATACATAGCAAAATTTAATGCTCTTTACATAAAAATATTAGACTACTTAAACAAAACTTCAAAAACTCCCAGTAATAGCTACACTGAATTAGAAAAGAATTAGGCTTTAAGACACTGCCTCCATTATTACCCTTATGCAAACACTGGGCTAGAACATCACCTGCATTGCCGTAGAAATGTCTCCTTCATGCAACAGGTAAGAACATACACTAGGCTATTTGTCATATTTGCTCTACACTGACCAACTCTGCCCCCCTTTTAAACTGTAAAATCAGACTTCAATATTTAACAAAAAAGAAATTATATTTGCAGTTAACACCCCCCCAAAATGCCTCTTTTAATTCCGACTTCAGGAAATTTTGTGCTTCCTTTGACTTATACTCAGCAAGCAGTCAAAACTATCAAACCACACGTCAGCATAACATGGGTATGACTCAAATACTCTTTTTTTTTTTCCCCCAAACGAATGATGCATTTTACTTTTCCCCCAACATTTATATATATATATATATATATATCATATAGAACGAACACCAAATATACCATCACTAATACTCAAGATATCACTGAAAGCTTCTGAAATAAAACATATTAATTAGAAGGCAGACTTCTATGGGAAATGACTTTAAGATGGCACCAGTTTGTGTCGTTGTTTTCTGAACACCACGTTTTCTTAATGTGCTAATTAATTTGTAAAAAGGAAAACACGTAAGCACTGACTATAAATTTGCTAAGCACCAAGATAGAGAAAGGTGGACATCCTGTGTTCTGTTTTATGGCTGTCATCGTTACTGTTTGTGTCAAACTCTGCAAACTTTCTCATCTGCTCATTTGGAATAGTCACATCAGCGTCATTTTAATAAGGTAACACTTTTCACTTATAATGTAGGATAATGGTCTCCTGCCACTATATAAATGCTAAGACATTTATAGAAAATAAATATTAAGGCAAAGCTGACATTTATTTTCAAAGAAGGGGATCATTATCCAGATCCAAGCATCTACATTCCATTAAATAGTTAATAAAAAGATTAACACTTGGGACAGCTGCGCAACACTCGGGTAAGCACAGGGGAGTGACTGCTGCATCGTAAAAAAGTGTGGCACAAAAGTAGATGGCTGTTCCTGTGGCCCGTGTAAAGAGTGTTCAGAGTGCCCTACTACAACTTAGGAAATGCTGCAACAGCTGTGCTTTCAAATGAGCACACGCTGCTGTCAGAAATCTCATCCAGCCGCAGATTCGTTTGGTGTATAAACCGAGATCCTAAATCACGCGTCTTACACGTGCCTGTGTCTAAGGGCTGCACAAATCCCTACTGCTTGCTGGTTTGGAGCACCCGCCACAGTTTTGTGCAGGACTTCATACTGCATGTCAAATAGCAAATATCAAAAGTCTCGAAGAATAATTTGGTCACTCATTGTGAAGTGTTGCCTTTTAAAATGCCTGGAATAAAACCTCCATTCTCTGTATGAAAGGATGGAAGATTACCCATGGGAAGATTTCCCTACGAACGTGTTCCAGGAGCTTGAACGTGAAGCTTTTACACTTCTCTATAATTTTGTTTGGTAGACACACATCTTACTGCAGAGCAGCTATTTGTTGATTTGTCAGAGCTACAGAATTCTTCTGCTGAATTACTGTGGCAACCATTTATGTGTAAGAATTGAGTTGCTCTTTTGACCGAGACTGGATATCCTGAAGCTCCTGCTCTTCTTTTGCTTTGATATCTTGGTAGGCCTGCATTTTGCTTGCATCCTTTAAGTAGGCCCAGTTAGAAGACAGTATCATGAGGAAGTGGATCTGGAAGAGAAGGGTGAGCATGATGGCTAGTGAGCATGTCAAGAGGCAAAGCAAGCTGCTAGTTAGATTAATAGACGCTCTTTACAATAACGACCAAAACCAAGTTACTCTACGTTAATAAGCATTCTGTTATTAAAACAAGCACAGAGGCTATTTTCAAAGGTCTCTAGAATTCTGCATGCTAATTTTGAGGTTGGTTATTCACAACTTAGAGAAAGTTAGTATCATGGTAATTAAATGAGCTACAGGGTTGTACGGATCAATTAAAATGCAGAATGGGGGGAAGTGAGAAAAATAAACGTTTGTTTGTATGTGGCAATTTAGAACATCTGCAAACTGGAGGTGCTCAGAAAAACTGCTTCCTAAGGTGGTGGTGCTTATGTATACTCAAGCCCAGATCCTGGTAATTTTTTTCCCCCAACAAGCAGATAAGAACTCCACCCTCCCCCTCGAAAAAGTCTGAAATTGTAAACGGTTTTATTTAGGTGAACAAGGCTACAGTAACACATGGAAAAGTTAAACAACAAAACACCAGTCCAAAACTAAGCAAAAGCATGCAAGATCTGGGTTAAGAAGTCTTAATCATGTATCGTTACAACTACATTTTCAACTCTCACTGTCTAACTTCAGGTGAAAACTCTTACATGTAGCAACTGTTTTTGTTTATTTTTTTTTTAATTGTGGGGACTTTTTCTAATTTGTGAATTCATCTCTTTCCAATTTCTTTTCTCCATGCTTCATGCAAAAAAAATCTACATCTGAAAAACACTGATTCACGTCTCTTTTATTCCCCCCAACAGTGTAAAAAATGTTTCTATGCTCTATGCATGGTTTTGCTTCCTGTGCAGTCATACTTACATTTTTGAGATCTGGCTACCGAGAAATCAGTTACTAAAGTGCAAGCCACAAATAACAAACTATTTATATGTTATTTCTTACTAGCTTGGGGCCCCAAACCAGAATGTGATTGTTTGACGCCGAGCTAATATAGGATGTATTGCCTTCCAGAGGGAGTGATTTGGCAATTGTTTGGAAATGAAGTAAAAGAAAATAATCAACTTAATCATCCACGCACCAGAAATACAGCCAAGTAATTCACAGTACTGGAGCTTCTCATTTCTGCCAAAAGAGACTGGCACTTCTTTATTACTCTTTTTATTCCGTATTGTGTATATTCAGCATGCTCGAGGTTTTTGAAGTTGTCATTCACAGTGAAGAGTAAATGAGTAATTCTGTTCCAGAATATTTGTTTTAGAGAAGAGTGTTGGAAAGCAAAATGGAGCCGTCAAATGAAAACATCCCATCTTCAAAAGAAAATTCGTGAACAGTCCTACAGTAACTGAATCCTCTCAACATGACAGAATAGCCAGATCTCATCCACATCATAGTTCATATACAAGAAGTCATTTTATTAATCTGATAAGCTAAATGAGGCTTACTGAAGCTATTTACAATTACTGTAACAAAATTCAGAAAGCTAGACTTTTAGCCTAGGGTGTCAGTGGTATTTTTCAAGCTACGCAATGCAGCTCTTTACTGGGCTTATACAATTTAGAATTTAGTGCAGCAATCTTCCCGACTCTTAAACTTCAAAACAGCATAGTTATATGTAGTAGCCATCATGTAGATCAGCTGGTGGAAGAGAACAAAATACAGGAGAGTAAGACACAACAAGTCTCAAGCCCACTTGGGCAACTGTCGATACTTTTACAACAGATGCTATTTGGAGCTTCTTCCAGGGTGAAGATGCAAGATAAATTGCTCGCCATTTATCCCTTGAGTAGAATCTACATACAGACCTAAGGCTGTTTTGCCAAAGAACAGGGACTCTTACACCTGAACATGGCACTGCAGGGTTGGACTGATCAAACTGCCTGGGTCCGGACATAAGAAAAGCATTCAAGCTACTAACCCCATAAACTATAAGAATGAAAAGAAATGGCGGACATAAAAACACCAATAGTGGGTAAAAGTAGGATTTTAAAAGGACACATGAAGAAGTTTCTTTCTAAGCTTAGGGTAGGTGGGTTAAGATGACTTCCTAAAGCAGAAGTAACTTGTAATGACTGAAGCGGAGCAGCAAATAACCAGATGATTACAGCTTGTCCTCCTTTCTGTGTAGGGTCACTATTTTAAAGATGCATAAAATTTGGTCTTAAAGCATCTTAAGCCTGAAAGGAACGCATTTTACAGTAAAAAAAGTAAAAATTTCTACCCACCAATGCTATGACAGTGGCACCAGCTCCAGCACAAGCCACAATGAACAGGTGATAAGACATGTAGAACTAGAGAGAAAAACATGTTAAAACACTTTAATTAAACTAACTGAGGATGGTATAAAACACATTTCAGCTATTGTAACGAATAAAAAATATGCTGTCTTCCAAGGGTTCAAAGCTTTAAAAAACTAGAATGTTCAGAAAACACTCATTTTTTGGATGCACAGAGACAAAGCACTTTCAGTATTCTGTTTAAATCAATCTCTTTGTACTACTAGTGTTAGTCTCCTCAAGAAACTACCATCAGGTTAGCTACTACCCTGTGCCTCAGGGCGCACAAGGTGCACACAGGGCGTCTGCATACCTCATTTGTGTTGCAGATGTTCTCCAGGATCGGACCGCAGGCTTTGCCAGGTACAGCATTCCATGGGATAATACCTGAAATAGTACAGCAAAAGAAATCACTAATTTTAGGAATCGGTACACACTTTCTGTTCCTTTCTCATCTTATCCTCCCACTTGCCAGTTGCGTTCCCATTTTGGGCATCCACACATTGACCAGCACAGCTTTGAATTGGCAGGAGGAATTAACTCGCTCAAACTGCGCTTTCTCTTTATACCAAGGCTTCCTGCCAAGCTGTGTTCTCAGATGTGGCTTTCCCATATGGCAGCCAAATGGTCGGCTTATGCACTTCAGGTCCAGTATGAGTCTGCCTGCTCCCCAACTGGGGCCTGAAGGGGATCATCTGCACTTAGAGACACCTGGCACCATTCAGGACAGCAATGCCTTACCAAGTTGAGTTCTACTCCCCCAAGGTAAAAAAGCAGTAAGTGAGAGCTGCTACAAGGTCTGGTCTGCCATACCCTCACATACTCCCAATTACTTCTCTTACGTGACTGAAAATCAGAAAAGTCAACAGGATCTTATGAGTTTAAAATAACCTAAACTTTTAGACCCATAAAAGATGTAAAGCTTAAGCAGAAGCCATGGCTCAAAAAAGGAAAACAGCGCTTTGCCTCCCCATTGTAACCTACATTTAAAACTCAGCTGGTTGGAATTAGCAGCTCTGCGAGGAGCAGGTCACTGATACTATCTCAGGACAGTATGGCTTTTGGAATGAAAAACTTCACAGGATTTACTTTAAAGCCACTTTCTTCCCTGCAACTGTAATATACAGTTGAAGGCCTTCAGTTATGGCTGCCCCCAGAGCAGAAGGAGCAAGGAAGCACAAGCAGCCGATTTTGTGAGTAATTAGAAATCAAAATAAATTCAGCAACGTTTGAGGCAGACTGTTCACTGCTGGTTTTTGCTTTTCAGAGAATCATAGAATCATTAAGGCTGGAAAAGGCCACTAGGGTCATCTAGTCCAACCACTAACCCATCACACCATGCCCACTAACCACGTCCTTCCTTCTGCATGTTCCTTGAACACATCCAGGGATGGTTGACACCACCACCTTCCTGGGCAGCCTGTGCCATTGCCTCACTGCTCTTTCTGAGAAGAAATATTTCCTAATATCAAACCCAAACCTCCCCTGCTACAACTTGAGGCCATTTCCTCTTGTTCTGTCCGAAAGTAACTGAAAGTAATAGTTAAGGCACAATTCAGGCATTATGTAAAAACAGCCTTCTGATAAGAAAAAATATATACAGATAGGTTCAAGAAAACAGAATCTGGTTATCTCTCAGTTCTGCCTCTAAGCAGTTTATTTTGAGGCCGATCTATTTTTACACCTAATATAGTATTGGAAACTGCTACAGAATCATTTTAGATAAATGACTTGCCAGTTCAGTTGAACTGATTGCATCTGGAAAGAGATCAATGTAATCTGAATTAATTAGAAAAGCAATAGCACATCCAGGGATACAAGATGCTTTTGCATTTGGTTCGTTTGATAAAGCTGAAAGAAAACTACTGAAGACAGACCAAGGATAAAGCATTTAATCAGGATTTGAATAAGTACCGTATTGCCTGATATCCACACAGATCTGGTCTCCTGGAACCGTCATGTTTATCTGAAGAGATTTGATGACTTCGCAAGTTGACCATATGTTATAGAACATAAAGACAGGCACAGCAGAGAAGCCAAAGACCCCGAGCCAGGCCACTCCAAGCACATAGGTGAGGAAAACAAACTGGGCAGAGAAAAGACAAGCACTTCACATTTGCTCTTTAAAAAGAATACTTGCATTTTCCTTAAAAATTCTTCGACACGGTCTTTAAACATACTTTCAGAAATTAAGTCATGAGGTATTTAACTTCCATTAACATACTCTCATATTTCCATGCATATGAACAACCTCAGCTTAAAAATACTTTGCTGCTCTCAGTGCTACTGAGAAAGTAATTCAGGCATTTCTTTTCTCATCAGGCTGCTAGAACAAACAGCATGGCCTCCTGAGCCAGCAACCTATTCATTTCTCAAGAGGCTCAGTGAAGCAGGGATGCTAGTTATAGGCTAAAACTGATAGAATGCCAACAGGAGTCAGTATAAAGATTTTTTTTTTGTCAGCTGTAATATACCAGCACTTCCATGCAACTTGCAAATCACAGCAATAGAGTGAATCAGTGTTTGCAGAGCTTTTCTCTGCTCCCTGATTTACTGAAATCAATTATGAATGTAACAAATGAGAACACCTATTTTTGAAAACATACTATGTTCATTACAAATCAGAAAGCTGGAACTGATCTAATACACATTGCCAAGAAGAAAATTACTTACTTCACCTCAGAGAAGATCATGGATTTTCCCACTGAAATTTGATGGTCTGTGTTGTCTTTTTTTAAAAAAGAAATTACCTGCATTTCTTTGGTGAGATTACCAGGTATGGCACTCACTGCTTTGGAAATCTCCAGCTTCCTCCTCTCACTGGACCTCCTCTCTTCCCTCTTCTTCCACGTTAAGTTTTATGGTGAGGTATTACTCAGAGCTCTGGCATCAGCTCCTAGCTCACCCCTCCTTGAGAGAGTTTGGAATCAACTTGCAAAGTGGGGAAACTTTTTTTTACACCTTGTATACACCTTCTCACTGTTATTTAACTCTAGGTAGACTGGGAAGGCTTTACTTTGCAGCAGAACACTGACGCTGTACTCCTATGTGAAACCTGTGTGCCAGTGCAAGAATGGGAAAAGCTCTGATGGGAGGAACTGTCTCAGCCTGGCCCCAAACTAAACAAATCCTGCAGTGGAGGAAGTCTACATTCTCAGAGTGTGTCCAGCCACACTGAAGAAGGCTGGAGATCTTACAGCAGTGGTTACAGCGTTTGGTTAGGCTTTGTAGGGAAAGAAGGTGGCACATGGGCAGCTGGAAGTACCTGTAAAACTAAGACAAACATCCCAAAAAACAAACAGTCTTGAATTTATATACCACTGAACTGAAATACTCCACTTTTTGCCAAATGCTGGAAGATCTCTCACTGGCTTTCAGTATCAACCAAGTGGATCAGTTTAAAGGATTTCTGTAACTATGCTATGAATAAAAAGTAGGCTTGCATGTGTGTATTTGAAATGTCCGTGAGAAGGAGAACACAAAGCCTTCAACTCCTACAATAGCTATGAAAAAGCACAATCCATCTCACGTGTAATAGAGATAAACTGTTGGAAACATTTACTGTGTGTTACCACAGCCAGGAGAAACAGCTCAGTCAAGTCAGAAGACTGTCTCCTGTAATAATCCTATGCGACTTGGAGGGGACTGCCCCCAGCTTAGTGATGTCAAATTGGCAGAAAAACCAATGGATGCCCAAAAGCTGCTGCGTGCACCCAGCTGCAGCCACCAGACTGCAAAAATATTATTTCTGCCTGCAAACCTTGTGATTTTCTGCGTGTCACACTGGTATTTGTGTACGCAGCTGACAATCATGTGCTTGCAACTACCCAACTGCAGAAGCAATTATCCACAGTAATGGAATGCACATATGTCTACGTTTCCACTGTATTTTGCATCTTTGGAAAATGCTGTTTTAGACATCATTTTGCTCCACAGCAAAGGTACTTTCCAAGAATAAGAACGGGAGAATAGCTGCTTAACTGGGAAATGATCGGATGCCTTATTTTTATTAGCTCTTGAAAAATTCAATAAGCATCCAACAGCACAGCGGAAAATTGTTAACCTTCATGAAAATAAACACGCATCTTCTTTGTATTTAGCCGTCTGGAAGCACATATTTTTTAAGTACAGGATATAGGCTGTATATTAAAATGCAACAATCACATCAAAAGCCTCTGCTCTTCTCACCCACACTTTCCCATGGGCGATCTGTCACACTGCTTATCTTCCCCCAGAACTATGAGCTTTGAATTCAGATTTTCAGCAATAGCTTTGAAATCCTGTCTCAGAAACATAGTTACGTTGCTGTTCTTGCAGAGTGCGCCCTAGGGGGCAACGTGGGTGAGAATCTGAAGTTTTATTTTTAGTTAAACTTTGTTTAAAATGTTGTGCTAATACAGAAGAATACTGAAGAGAAGAATGGTTTGAAACTTTAAGGCTCTAAGTGTTTCAGCTTTGCAAAAAAGACTCATTATTATGCCTGTATCCCTTCTGCCATCTGCAAAAGCAAGATGGAAATATTTGATTCAAGTGCTGTGACGTTGTGAAGCTTCATTCATTGCTGTTTGTTTGAAGGATCCAGACATCCTCATGTAGAATAGACTGAGGAAGTCAGAGGCACTGCAGTCTGCTACTTAAATAGCTCTGCAAACCACAGCCCTTTTACAGTCTGCCCTTCCCATTGTTAGCGCACGCCGTGTTCAAAAGTGCAACTTTAATTCTGTCTCATATTGAGCACTTCAAAATCAGCTGCCTCCAAGAGTTTTGAACAGTGAGTTCAGCTTGAGCAGGGGGAGGCCTTGGAAGCACCCCAAAAGTCAACATAGAGAGTTTGGATTTGACCGAGCATCCCTGAAGCTCAAAGAAGAATGAGCAGCAGGGATTGGCTCTGCCCACCCATAAGGAATTAAAGGCAGCAGCAAGACACTGTGGTTCAAAAAAAACACAGAAGTCAAACTGAGCCTGATGGGTTTTAGCGAGGAATGGCAACTGTTCCCACTTCCAGCACTACTCACCATTCCACTGATGCAGCGGCCACAGGCTGTTGTTTTGAACTCTCCATGCAGCTCCTTCACAGCACTCGTTGTATAAAAGCCTTCTGCCAAAAGGATTATTCCATACAAGAAGAAAAACGATGCAATGCCATAAATTACATACTGCATTAGCTGTATTCTACAATGGAAAAGAAAAAAAGACACAATTAGATTTCAGTCCTGTTAAAACAAAGCAAGTTCTCCCTAATCGTAACAGGTATGAGATAATTCCTTTTTTAGAAACACAGTTCAGGGCTCTTTGATGCATTTTAAACGAGTGGGCTGCAGGAGGATGCTACATCGACTGCCCCACTGCCACAGGCATGCCCTGCTGATATTCTTAAGTCCTGTGTTGCTCGAGCATCTCCTGTCTCTGCTGTGGTTCCTGCACTGAGTGCTGTTAGTCATAAACTGGAGGCCTCCATTTCATGCCTCCACCACAGAGCTGTGTTTTCCTGTGAGATAATATGCAGAGGAAGGCTACAAGGCACATACCGTGGATCTTATCTGAGGAGGTTCTTCATTCCCTACAAATCTACTGTCAGCAGTGACACCCTTAAGTGTTTTTACTCTGGCTGGAACAGTTAACAGAAAGAATCATCTATAATATCAGCAATCTCATCACAGACTCAGCAAACATGCTGACTGTATTGAAGGACCAGAACGGCAGATCTTCTATTCAACATTTCTTCTGGTCTCCAAAAATCACACTTGATCATAGCATAACAGAATCGCAGAATGCTTTGGGTTAGATGGGACCTTCAAGTTCACCTAGTTCCAACCTCTGCTATAGGCAGGGATACCTCCCACTAGACCAGGTTGCTCAAAGCCCCATCCAGCCTGGCCTTGAACACCTCCAGGGAGGGGGCATCCACAGCCTCTGTGGGCAACCTGTTCCAGTGTCTCACCACCCCCACAGTAAAGAATTATCATTAGCACTAACTTCTCCACAACTTATATTCTTAAAAATATATATATATATGTTTGTTGGGATGAAGACTTTTAATGAAGCTATTCACAGAACAGAAAGATTAATTTTATAGATCCATACTGCTTTTAATTTTTTTTAAGGATATATATATGTATGTCTTTCCTCAGATTTTTTTTTTAATTCTTACTACTCTCCCTAAACTGGCTGCCTGCACAGATATGCGTCTCTGAGGAACACCTGCATGATTTAGCTTCATTTGAAGAAAACTGATTACCACAATTTACATAGTTAAGCATTACCCAGACAGAACATAAACCTCTTGCATCAAAACAGGATACTGATCATTTAAAATTACACGTGGGAAGTGAAGTAGCATTTACGTTTATTTTCCAAACTGATTCAAAATAACAGGATAAATCCATTGCACCTGTGCTGTAAAGCATAAAGAAATTAACTCATTTGAGGGACAACAGAGTTCATTTCACTGTCACTAACAGGCTAGAAGACTACTAAAAATTAGCAATATGAATCCTGGCTAAAAATCAATTCCACAAACGGTGGCCCACTAGTATATTTTTCATTGAATTTACATCTCCTGGCCTTAAATTCTTTGCCCTTTTCTATCACTTCATCTCTCCAGCCTTTCTTGTTTGCCTTCAACAGAGCTGGAGCTCTTTGGTAAGAGTCTAACAACCCCCCAGCTGCTGAGGCTGTCTTGACAAGAAATCTTGTCAACAACTCTCCAAAATGCAAAGCTTGTGCCTGCTGTGGCTACTTTTGCAATTTCATTTGCAAATTCTAAGAACAGCTGCTCATTGTTTCTCTCTAAATTTTTATGCTAATGGCAGCATCCCTGAGCTTCACACAACAGAGGACCCAGTGTTTAGCAGCAGGGGGGGGGCATGCAGTCATAGAGGATCCTGAATTTGGGCACTGGGAGGAAGAGAAGCTCCAGTACATTGCTGTAGTGCTCTCAGAGGATGGGAAGAGGTGAGCTGTGGCTCAGTACCTGCAGATTTGTGGTCTGTGTCCACATGAGCTAAAAGGGAGGCTATTAGCAAAGAGAAGCCCCTCCCCCAGAAATGGAGAATCAAGTGCACTGGACTGAACTCTAATACAAAAGTCTTCAATTGGTGTCCTAAAAACTGGGTATTATGGGTAGACGAGCAAGATCTGTGCAAAATCTTCTCAGCACAGGGTACATATAATGCCCAGATGGTGCTGTGAAGAGCAGCATGGATCCAAACCATCAATCCATATACTCAGGTTCTCAATGTTAAAAGGAACTGGATATTTGTGTCAGTGGGGCTGGATACAGAGCCAAGATTGTTCACCCATAGTAATGATCACCCCAGCAAATAAGAACCAATAGCTTCATGATTCCAACACATTTATTTGTGAAATCTAATTGAAGTGTAGGATCTTATCTTCCCTGTACACAAAGCTGCTTCTCCACTCTGCCACACAGAAGGCACATCATTGCCTTCTGATGGCTGACAGAAGTCGGGTGCAACTCCAGAGCAGTAGGTATAATGCACGTATTTTAGAGGTCTTTGAAATTGATGTAATGAATATAAATGGGTTAAAGCAGGATACACACGCTGCTTCTTTGTGCGTAAATACTAAAAAACACCAAAAAACACCTGAAGATGTTGGACAAACAAGCATACCAATGCTTGGGGATGGAGATCGAGATGCAAATCCATCTCTACCCACTCAGCAGGAGGGTGTTGGGATGAACAATGGGTCTTCCACAAACAATGGCAATGGGAGGCATACTTACACTTCACTCAGCAAAGCATGGTCACTGGCAGTCGTGGAGAAGTGCTGCTCAAGGATGGACACGGTGCCTGTGAGCGCCACATGGCCACAGCCACAGAACAAGGCGACCCCCGAGAAGCAGAGAATGGTTGCCACCAGCGAAGCATATGGCACTCCTCCTAGGCACTTAATGCAACATTCAAAGCAACCTAAGCAAAAGAGAGAAAGCAAAAGAAATGTTATGAGCAAAAAGGAGAAGAATATTCAGTCTCTGCTTAGTAAAAAGCCACGGGGAATAAAAGGCCCAGACACCGTCACTGCACTAAGCAAAAAATCTATAGATGGTGCAAGAAAGCATCATCCTCTGAACACTGACCTACACATCTGTCAGAGTGAGCTCAATGCTCAGAAAGTGGGCCGAGTACTCCCAGTTTTACAGGATCGAGAGATCAATGAGACAGCCTGTGAAATGGAAAAGGAAAAAAACTGTTTGTCTGAAGTGGTCCACTGTGATCCAGCTGCTGACACAGAGCTCGCCACACTTCAGCACTACTGGTATTAAGGACACGAGCACCGGGTGTGCTGGCACTGCTCAGAAAGCTGGAGAAGCACTCAAGCCAATGAAGCCTTTTGGAGAAATGAAGGATGTGTGGAACCCATGGTGGTCTGCAAAATCTAACTACTCTGCACTCTGCCATGGCTCCTGAGTATCTTTGTCAAAATCCATATACGGATACATATCTATCAACAGATAAAATTAGTGGGTGACAAAGGGTAGAAATTTTTATTGAGTGGTGAGATGTAGTGGAATTACATAGACAATACATTTCCAGCTTTATAGGATGCACTGGATTTACAGTGATCCCTGACTACAGTCTGCAGTAGCATAATCATAGTTTTAATGAAATTTATTGCCTAAGCAGTCTGAGTTAAGAAAACGACCCCCCAGAACTGCTGCTGGCAAACACTGCAATAAGGTCACGGCAGCTGAATTACCAGGCTCCTCCTGACCGCGCTGCCTGAAAGTCCATCTGCTTGCAGAGCTGGGAAATGTAAATCGGAAACAAACACAGCTTTTAACTGCGTTATAATGGTAATGGCAATCCATACCAATTCATTACTTCAGGGTGACGGCATTAAGCTGTCTCCATTAACGTACATTTCATACAACTGCGCAAAGCACAAGCCATTAGGACGCCGCTCGATGCCGTGCCTGGCGTAGCCAAATCCTGCTGGACAGCACACCATGAAGAAATGATGTGCAGGTATGGGACTGCTGAACCTACACATCCCAGTGTCCTCAGAGTCCTACACCATGTCACAAGCATAAAACTCTCCATTTTGAATGCCACTAGCAAGTGCCTAAGTCAAGCTAGAGAAGCTACCATCAGGGAAACAACCTATGAAATGCTACTTTGCTACATATGGGTGAGGTGTAGTTGCATGGGAGCAAGCCTGGGAAGCATTTGTAGCTGAGTCCATAGCTGGAAGCTGCACATTGGGAACTGCCTCCAGGACAGAAACCCAGCAACAGCCACAGACATGGCAGTGGGGTGCTCAGGGATGAGGCACAGCAAGCAGACACAGATGAGCACTATCACAGAAAACCATTTCTGGTATTCATCTTATCAGAGAGGTCCAGGGTTGAGCTCAGACAGCAGACCTTGCAGAGCAAACCTCAGCTGTAGTGCCTGGGGGATGTGCCTGATGGCAGTCCCCAAGCCACATGTCAGGCATAAAGGCAGTCCTACACGTCAGGCTGGCTCACCTCCCTCTGCACTTGCCTCCACATCGGACCCAAATCTCCAAGAGTTAACCCTGGAAACTGCTGCACCTGGCTTGGGATCAGTATTAAAGGCCTGCCCAGGCCTAATGGCACAGCAAGTCAGCAGAGCATGTCTGGCAACGCAGGGCCGCAGCCTGGCACAAAATGGCCTCCCAGGTCCTACTGTGAAGGAGCAGGCAACCAAACACCTGCTTGCTGGTTGGTGGGCAGGAGGTCAATCACATCACTGACCAACTCATGGAAGGATAGGAAACAAAAGCAGCTAGAAGCAAAGCCAAGAGACCCTTGAGCAAAGTGATGGTGGTAATCCCCCTCTCTCTTCCAAGTCACTAGCAGCAGCACACAGCACCTTTGTGGCTGTACTCTGTGTGTCTCACCCCAACAGCTCAAGTATGAAGGCACACCACAGTATTTGGGTGGTCTTCACTGTATCAGGTCAGACCATGGCTCCAGGAAACCCTACAAAGTCTGTAGGGTGAGGCAGAGGAAGCTGCCCAGATGTGGAACTGCAGGAACCACTCACACCAAGCCTCAACCAGAGGCAGAGGGGCTTCAGCTTACAGGAGTATTGCATGCAGCCAGCTTCTATGTGAACAAAAGCAGCCCAAAACAGCCCGTTTCCATGAAACAGAATCCATGTAGTTGCTGGGTACCCAAATCAACACCAGAGCTTCTGCACAGCCTCTTGCCAGAGACTGAATTCATTCCCCACCTGGACAACAGAGCTGGTTTTATATATTTATATACAGAGAGATAGATAGATCTCCCCTAAAACAAAGGAAGCTTTCAAAACCAGCTAAAATCAAATGTTCATCAAGCACTTATCCAGATGCCCAGACTAGCACTGAAGCAAGACAGGATTTCTTCCCAAAAAGAAAGCTTCCTAGGCAACCTGCTTTATGATCATTCTCTGCAACCCCAAGCCAGCAAGTACCCATTACCCTATGACTGCAAACACACAATGTCTGCTTATTTCACAACCACTTTTACGAATTAGCTTGATAACACAGTGATGACAAATGCAGGCTGAAGGCCTGTAAACTAAAGCTGATCAAAATAAGAAGTTTTAGTAAAAAATTGGAACAATTTTTTTTTTTAATCTTCACGTGGCCGACACGCTGAAGTTTTCAGCTGCACATCTATCACAGCAGAGTAAAATGATTTAAATATGAAACTGTGCAGCACAAGTACCCATCGTTGCATCTCCCTTTTCAATGGCCATTTTGTGCAAGGCATCACTAGAACCTTTTGTGCAACTCAGCAGAATAAAAACATTTTTTGTCCCCAGGCTGGTGAGCAGCAGTTGCCATGGAGGCAGGTTAATAACAGCCCAATGATTTGCCCAGGGCTGCCTGTGATCTTGGCTACAGATTTAACACACTCTCAGAAGGAGGCCAGCTAAAACAAGGACTGAGATTATTCTCTAGGGAATGAATGCTATTAAACACACACGCACACACACACAAATATTCTCGCTAAAGGACTAAAATAAAGAGAAAGGAAAAAAGACAGGAACCAACTATTCTTTTAATCTCCTGGAAACTATCAGTCACAGGAAATTGGTAAAGGATGAACCTACATATGTACACAAATCAGCAATTGGTTGCTTAATGTATGAAGAATAATTATATAATCTACCCAGCAGTGTACGGGCTGTTGCATATATGCAGGGGCTTAGCTATTCAATTTCCCATGTCAAACGGCAATTGTGTGGCTAAACCTTCTTTGGTACTTTAAGTACAGCTTTAAGATTTAAACTCAGAAAAGCAAGGTAATGCAGAATTAATGGAAAGAGGTCTTAAAAAAAAAAAAGAAAAAAAGCAGCAATTCTCAGACTCTGACTCATCCGACTAAGGTCAAGATGGACTGGAATGACAATGTCTGTGCTAACAGAATGACAAAATGCAATACACTGGGATCAGTTAGGTGTCGTGGGTAGTCCTAGGGCTTTCTCTAGGAAGTTAACACAGCAGCTCTGGAGGCCAGGCTTGAAAAGTTGAGACAGGTGCACGTTCACAGAGCCATCACTCAAAGCAAAGCATGGGAAGCATGATGTACAGAGTGTCCACGATACCTCCTAGACAAAAACTCAGCCTGTCCTCTAACATCCCAGACTACTTTGAGGTTGAACTAGTGTTTCTGTATCTCTGGTAGAAACCACTGATACTGTAAGGACTGAAGAAGAAAAAAAAAAAAAAAAAAGGAAAAAATAAAACCTGAAACATGGTTGGAAAAGCTCCCCATTTCAAGCAATTAAACATCAGTGCTGCAATGGCCCCTTTCTGAGTTGGCTTCCACTCTTTTTCCTTAGAAGTTCAATTTCTTAATAAATCTGTCTTTGTTTTTTTAAAGATGAAGCAATAGGCATTAGGTTTTTTTTCCTCATTGCTTACTCCCTGCAATTGCATAATGTGTTTTTAGAAGTCCTGAGACATGATACATATGTCCAGTTTACACATGGAAGAAGTGACATGGCCTCTTCCACCCCAGAAGAGTCACCTCTGCTGCATTCAGCACAGGGCTCAGGAGGAAGCACTGAGGAACTGCTTTCACAATGAGAGAGTTGTAGGAAACCCTAGGGAAGAAAAAGCACCAGATAACATCTTAAACGTAGTCACTGCTTGTAAATTAGGTTCATTATTACGCATCTACATGATCCTTATGTTGGGAGCACTACTCTCAATTCACAGAAGAGGAGAACTCAATACTTTACATTCATCTCCTCTTTCCCCAACACTGAAGATTACCTAATGCCAAACATGCATAATTACATTCGGAGCCTTAAACTGCCATGGATCTTTGTCAGAAAATTAACTGTAAGTCAATGAAAACAAATGCCAGTTTTACTTTCTGACACCTACTTCATTTTTTAAAATCTCCATTCCAAACAGCTTGTGCATGGTAGGATGTACATTTTTGTACCTTACAGCATGATTGACAGCTACGGGGGAAGCAGCGAGGGATGTGGGAATATGCCAGTACCTCCGAAGAAAAACCAGCATTTGCCTCCTTCTTCTCTGTGTGAGAATAAGACAGTATCTAGCAGTGAGATAACTTCCAGTTCTCACAGCTGTCACCCACACTAACTGCCAAGGGTCAGCAGCAGCAGTACAATAAGATATTTAGTCTTACAAGGGGGTAAGTTTAAAGCATGTGACAAATTTGCCTCCAAGCATTCACAAGGGCACTCAAATAAAAAGTCTTTGTGTTAAATCACTTGAAAGTCTCAGTTAAAGCTCTATTCTTACCTGTTACTGCTCTTAAATATCGCTGGTTTACAAAATATAACACAGAAAGCTAAAACCTCTGTTATAAATGATGAGAAATGCTCACACGCCACTGTTAATGATCAAGAACATCAAACAGACATAAGTTGTAAGTTCAAGTAGAAAATATCTTGTGTTTTTCTCCCACAGACCTCTTAAACCTCAACAGAGAATTTCAAGTTCAACCTTTCCTACTTTTCTTCTTTTGTTCTCCTCCAATCAGAAGAGCTGTGAATTCAGTTTCTACTGAAAGAGTGCTCTTCACAGGAGCCAGAAAACTTCCTGCAAGGACTTGTCAGCCTAGCTAGATCAAGCTGTAAATTAATATATTAATATGTTTTCCTAAGCAACGTGAATGGTATCAGTGATGAAGATGACATGACCTTTATAGACCACAGCCATCAGGGCTGTCACAGAAAGTCAGACCTGAGATCCAGCAATACCACCATTCCATGCCTCATGGTGGCTAGTGGGAGATGTTCCCAGTGCCAGCACAGTGAGATTTGGATGGTTTGATCCATCCTGTCAGCCTCAGCCTGATCTCTTCTAGTAAGAAGTTACTCAAAGGACTGAAGAACAAGGTTTAAGTATCTCTTTCTAAGGGTTACCAGCCTTATTTGCAACTTCTTCGGATATTCTCAATACATGTGAGTTACTCTGTTTCTGCACTGTTACAATCACACAGACGGTTCCCCACTACTGAGGAGGTATTTGCTGTTACTGCCTTAAGCGTGCCATCTTTAGAACTTCATTAGATGCTTCCCACTCTTGTGCAGCAGAGAACAAAAATCCTTGCACTTGCCTCCTGTGCTGCAATGCTGCAATTGGTGCAGAGAACCCACCAAGAACAAGCATTTCAAAGCTTGAAAGCACCGGCACCAAGCCCCTTTTTTAAATCCATGAAGCACTAGGTATCTCTGAGTAAGAATACTAAGCTGTTCCTGAATACTCCAACAGTAAACAGCTTTTTTTTTAAACACAACTAACAGCAACAAAAATCCTAGTACAGTTTATCAGGCTGATCTGTTTTTTTTTTCTTTTCACTACAGAAAACATAACAGTCATATAGGGGAGAAAAAAAAAAGCCTTTTAGCAATGCAAGACCTAGATGCAATAGCATCTAGAAAGATGCTATTAAATGACACAGAAAATACTCTAAAAACAGAAATCAGTAAACATAACCCCTTTTCCAGCAAATCTCAGATCCAAAATGTCACTTACAGGGAAAAAAAATAAGCACTCCCACTGCAGGAAGCAGCAGGTCAAATTCTAAGACCTGTTTAGTGCCAGGACAGACAGGCTGAATGGTCTTTTTACAGACTTCATCCAATTTATCTTCTTCAAATTTATTGAAATACATACACTTGCCATTTATTCCATTCCCATCCTTCTGCAAGGCTCATTAAGTTCACAGGTGTTCCGAAGGCATCATTTTCAGACAGCACGATCTATAAAATATGAATCACTACCTCCACGCTCACTGCAAGCAACCTCCCCTAGTGGTTTGCTATGTGACAGTGAGGAGCTAGACCTGCACAAGAAGGACACTGCCACCCCATGAGACTGTAGCACCAGAGCTGCTCTTGCCCAGCTTTATTCCCTTGCACAAAGGTCTGGCTAAACATTGTCAATTTTAATTCAGGTCTTCTCTGTTTTACTTCTGGTCCATGAAACAATGCAAATTACACCAGAAGAAATACATTTGATTTATGGTATGGAAAAGGCCTTACTTCCAACTGGTACAAAAGGGACCCCTTGAGGACGGTTATTTTTTTAGCTGTAAGCTACTACCGGAGAAGAAAATTAAGTAGATGCTTTAAAAAGAGACTTCTCACATAAGGAACAGCTCAAGCAGTACTGATAAAAGCTTTGGCATTATTCTTCCTGCAGACTTGTTCTAGTATTCTACTATGCAAAGCAGCCCCTTGGGACTCTCGCACAGCCTGAGCATGTGGAAGGGCTCATTGATACACAGAGCTCAAAGAGCAAATATATTGCATCAGCAAGGGCAGCCTCTGGTCCAAGCTGTGCCACAACTCTCAATTGACGGACCAGCAACTCACTGCTTAAGGTGCCTGAAGACACTCTTCCTCAACCTCACCCTGACCTTCCTCGCCTCAGTTCACCTATTCTTGCTTTCTCAGAGAAACAACCAACAGGGATTGCAAGGATTTCTGCCTCAGTAGCTGGTAGATCAGGTGATTATTGTGCACAAGCTCAAGCTAAAGAGGTGAAACAGATGAGCAGAGTGTCAGAGATACTCAAATGCCTGGACATCCACGCATGCTTGCTGAGAGAGGCACAAAAGCACCTAAGCACTTCAGTCCCAAGGGTCACTCCAGCAGTTCTGTGAAATATTCTTTAATGATATAAGGGTCTCCCTGAGCAAATTCCCCTCCAATCCATCTGGAACTTGGAAAACACAATTTCTAAAGCTGACTTGATTTAATCAAGGGCAAGTATCTTACCTGGAAGTGGATCTTAGCTCCACCTTTCTGGCAGTCATAACTGACTTCACTCACCAGCAGCCATCAGCACATGACTTTTGCCACATTGGATTTCAGCCACTACTACCAACTGCTTCCCCAGATGCCTCCTCCCCAGCTACAAAGAAGCAAACAGAAATACAGCCTCTCCCTATATAGGGTTAAAGGGCCAAAAACAGTGTGTAGGAGGCATTCTGCCAAGTGAGTCTAATATATGGTAGATTATTTCCCCATTTCAGAGAAGCCTGGGGATGCCAAGATCTTCTGTAGAGGTTCATCCAAAATGGAACAAGAGAACTTACAAGAAACCTGAATCACTACTAAAGAAGTCCTCTCCCCTGCAACAACCACCATGTACGTATTTCCCCAGCTGATGTTCCATCACGCCATTTTCAAAATTTCAGCTTGTTTCAGTAAGGGTGTAAGCTGAGAGAACATAAGTTAAGGAAAAAAAAAGATTCTCAAAAAGCAAGCAATGCCCACTTCCCCTGTAATGCCTACAGCTCAGCTTACATTAAGCAGCCAGTGCTAAGTACCTCTTTCTAGAGACAGAAATGCTTCCTGAAGAAAAAAGATTGTTCTAGGCATTCTGGAAGGCTCATTGAACTTGCAGGTGCTCTGAGGATGCCTTGGCTCAAGCACTGCAGCAAATCTCACATTGATTCTACCATTATTGCTCAAGTACTTGATGAAAGCTTAAAGTGGCTGAAAAGAGACCATGTCGTACATGAAGACCCTCTCACCACAGCAGATACCAGGGGGATGCCTGAGAGGGGCTCTCTTAGTGATGTCCACACTGACATTGACAGGTCAGGTGAGATAGGAACAACCCACACTGCACAGAAACTCAAGAAATAAGGTAGGTTGTCAAAGCAGCTTGAGCTTATATCTCAGCACTCCAGCCAACGTCATGCAGCAGCAGAGAGCTGCATGCCAGTGCTGAAGGGAGGTGTGTTAGAGGAGGTGTGTGGTGATTAAAGCCACATTTTCCCTGCAGTCTAAGAGAAAGACTAATATTTTCACTGTGGCTAATTCATGACTGGCAAGTTGAACTTGCTCAAGACCTACTCAGAACAGTCTTGCTGCTGCCTAGAAACCTTTTAATTTATTCAAGTGCAGTCACTTATAGCACCTTTCTTTGAACTGGCCTCTCTGCTGTGTGGTTTGGTTTCTATCAGTAAGAACCCTTTCTTATTCAGCCCTTCCATGACAAGGCATCACATTTACCTACATGTTACTGTAGAAAGCTTCCCAAGTCAGCTTGCAAAGGGTTCTGCTGCCTAAATAAGGCATCTATCCCCATTTAGGTGCCAGACTCCCAGCTGCCATGACAGAAGGCTGCAAGTCTCCTCTGTGTCCGGCTCATCTGTGCCAGCACATACGGACGTGTCTCAGTGCTGAGGACAGCTGACAGGGCACAAGGCCCTGATAATCAGGCACCTGGCCTGTTCCCTCCATGCTCTCCACAGACCAGGAAAGCAGCATTCATAATCTGTCACTCCTCCCTAAACCTTTTATTCTTGTACAAAGGATCCCACACATACAGATCTCAAGTTTTGACGTGTCTACAGCCAGCTGCGAGTCTGTCACTGGGTCACTTATCATAAAATAGGGCCAAAATGAATATTGATACTGAAGATGGGAGACAGAGGTCATGATTTACTATCTAAGTACTTGCAAAATTAAAAAAAAAAAAAAAAGACATTCTGAAATACATAAACATATGAATCCTGAAGAACAAATGGATATGAACATATAATGGAGACAAATTGGTGAACATTTCTCTGTAATTGCAGTTAAAGACTATGATACGGAGGCAGACATCTCCAGAAAACAGTCTATCATGCAGGCTTCAGTCACTCAGCTCCATGAAAAGAAGAGGACTGCTGGATGCAGATAGTTGCAAATGCTCTCTCTGGGCATTTATGCCCTTAACTTTGTAGACCCATGGTCAGGCTATAATTTTCCAATACCATTAGTCCTGTGCTTGACTTCAGGCGCCTTTCTGAGATGCTTCAAATCTAAAACCCCCCGGTTTCTCAAAACAAAGCTTCAGGAAAACAAAAAATGTTTTCAAGGATTTCATTGAAAGCATGTGGAATCAGAAAACAATTTTTAAAACTTCAGCTTCTGTCTTTAAAAATCTGACACACACTACATAAATCTTTTAAAGTCTGACATATACTGTTTCTAGCAAGGGAAAAATGCAGAGAAAACCACAGAATATTGTCTAGGAAGCATATTGTAGGAAACCAATAAATCAGATGTGCTGTCGCTGGTTTAGTGTCAATCAGTGCATTTGTGGCTGACCATTTGGATAGATTCATCTGCACACAAAAACCATACTACACCATCTCATCATTAAACAGTTCTGAAACAGTTCTGAAACAGGCAGCACATTTAACAGGGAGGTATCCTTCAACACATTACTGTCTTTCAAGCTTTAACAACCAAAATTGAATGCACATCAAGTATTCATATGAAAGAACTAAATTCCTTACAGGCTTAACAAAGAAAACAAAAACACAGAACATTTCTCTGGCATTGTTAGGACTATTGCAAAGCATTAGGTTCATGCTACCATTTCTGAACTCTCCATTCCAGTTTCACCCCGCCCTTTATTTACCTTGAATCCCCAAAGGACTAACATTGCCTCTCAATGCTGGCACATGATGGTACCGGTGTGGCCTTGAACTCCTGTACATCCAGTGGTACCTGCCAATTTCCATTTCTGGTCTGGTGATCACTGCCAATTTTAGGTGGTAAAAAGTCAGTGTCACCAAAGTGTGTAGTTCAGTACTTTCAGTCATTTAACTTAAAAAATACGAGCCCATAAAAACACGTTTCTAATTACATCACTGAAATAACATAACTTTACCAAAACAAGGAAAGGACTGGGAGGAGGGGAGACAATCAACAGGGAAATGCTCATACAAATGTTAAGAAGGGCTGAAGAGTTGAAACCCATGGTGGGATTTGAATTGAATGCCCTGGAAAGGCCCCAATGCTACAGCTGCCAGTCATCTCCCCCCCACCCTTGCTGCTCCCCCTCCTTGTTCACAGCATGGGGCTCTGCTCCGGGAAGACACAGTCATGGAAAACCACATTATCCATTTTGTAAAATATTCAAAATCTGATAAAGAAAACAATAGCTACAGGGCAAAACCATGAGCTTACTCATTACCTTCCTACATAAAGTAAGTTGTGGGTTTTATCTCATGAAGGCTCTGATCATTTCCAAAAATCCAGACCAAATAGGTTAAAAGAGGTTTGTTCCAAGGGTCTGCCTTTGAGGTCAGAGGTACACTCAGAAAGGACACTGCATGCATCAAAACACAACCAATGCATGTTCACCAGCAAAGCTTTGCTGCTGCTGAACACTGAGGAGCTCAAGGGCAAAATGGCGCCGGACCACTCGCACATCGACATTTCCTCCTCACCTCCCTCACAGCACTGCTGGGCTGTCAGGGCAGTGCAGCCCAGCCATTCATTAACACGCTCTGCAGTCCCACTCAGCTACAGCTGAATGAAAAAATAATTGTCATCCCTGGCCAAAATAAACCTGACTGCACGGCATTTCAGCTGTAACGGCGAGGTTACACTGGTAGGAAGAAGTGTATTGTGAACAAGGTCCAAGGCAAGTCTCTGGTCTGTGTGGGACTGGGAGGGCCCTTGTTCTTCCCTCAGGTTGCTTCACTACTTGTGTGCTGACAAGTTTGGCACAGCTGTATTTGCACACATCAGAAGAGAAACATCCAAGCGGTGGATCTAGAGGTTCCCAAGATGAATTTATTCATCTTTTGAACCAGCGAGAGCTGGTGAATCAGCTCTAGCACTAAAAAAGCCTTTGGGGTTAAATCAACGTCTCTTTAAAGGAGACACTGTAGTTTGCTGCTGGTCCCCTCTGTGCAACTCACAAACCATGGAGCCATGGAGTAGGAACCAGACAGCACGTCTTTCCCAGAAAGCACTGCTCACTGAACTCATAGAATTTCCCCTGTACTCAGCATTGATGAGATCTCACCTCAAGTACTGCGTTCAGTTTTGGGCACCTCAGTACAGAAGGGACATTGAGGTGCTGGAACAAGTCCAGAGAAGGGCAACAAGGCTTGTGAAGAGCTTGGAGAATACTCCCTACAAGGAGAGAGTGAAGGAACTGAGGCTGTTTAGTCTGGGGAAAAGGAGGCTGAGGGGAGACCTTATTGCTCTCTTCCAATACCTGAAAGGTGCTTACAGCGAGAGCAGGGTTGGTCTCTTCTCACTGGTGACAGGATGAGGGTAAATTTAGGTTGGATATCAGGAAACACTTCTTTACAGAAAGGGTTGTTAAGCACTGGAATAGGATCCCTAGGGAGGTGGTTGAGTCACCATCCCTGGATGTGCTTAAAAATCCTTTGGATGTGGTGCTCAGGGACATGATTTAGCGGAGGGTTGTTAGTTAGGGTAGTACGGTTAGATTGCAGTTGGACTCAGTGATCTTTAAGGTCTTTTCCAACCTGAGCGATTCTATGATTCTAATATCCTAACTCTGCTCCACATTGTATGGCTTATCTTTCCTTTTAGGAAAGACAAATGCCGCATTTTATGAATACAATCAGATTCAGAATGTCTTCAAGCTAGCATTCCAAGATGACAGTGCATGCTCAGGGAAACTTCCATCATGGTATCGTCTCCTCCTACTTACATTGGAACATTCTTGTTCATGTGATCACAAAAACCATAATAATCAAATTTGAAACAAGCTGGAAAACAACAGCACTGCTTGCTGGAACTTCAAACTCTCTGCCCCCCTCCCTGTTCCCTGTATTATTTTAAGGTGGTTATTTAGGAAAAACTTCTCCGAAAGAGTGGTCTGGCATTGGAACGGGCTGCCCGGGAAGGTGGTGTTCACCTTCTCCACAGGTCATCATCCTGGAGGCGTTCAAGAGATGTGTAGATGTGGCACCAAGGGACATGATTTAGTGTACAATATTTGTGGTAGCTGGATGGCTGGAGTAGATTATCTTAGAGGTCTTTTCCAACCTTAACGATTATATGATTCTATGATTAGCTACTTACTGGACATCAGTAACAGATTAAGATTTAAAAATAAATAAATAAATATATGGCAAAACTTCCACAAGGAAAAAAAATCTTCAACTGCTTTGCAGTAGCATTTAGACCAAATTCTTGGAAAAAGAAGGGCCTCATCATAGTAGGCTGAAGCCCACGGTTTGAGACTTCTCCTGCAGCAGCTACAAAAACCACTTGCTGAAAGCAGCCAATGCCAGTGCAGGCACTGCTTGCTGTGGGACTGGTATAAAACCCTGATACATGGAGGTATCACATAAACTTTGCAGCATCATTCCTGTAAAACAGACTATTCCGTGAGGGTTTTTTTAATTAGCCATTTCTAATTTTACAAAAGCAGGACTCCTTTCATAGAGCAGTGGGTTAAATTGCATGCAAAATCTCAGTGTTTCCACTGCTCTCTGAAGAGTCACTCAGCATCTAGCCACCTGGTGGCCTCTGCTGCACACCTGGAATGATTTCCCAAATCAGACAATCTTCTAGTGATGTCTCTGAGCTCCACACAGGCCCATTCATGCAAAATTACTATCAGGTCAGATGCCCCAAAGGCTTCAGTGGTGTACAATTACTGCACACAATATGGAAGAAATGGACTTTAGTACTGCATCCCCAAAGTTCAAGAAATGAGAGGGGTTTATTTAGTTAGTTAGTTAGTTTCTTTGTTTAGGAATGAACTATACAAGTGGCATTTCTGGGTCCAGGTGGTAACGCTCTCCATGCACATCCAGGCCCCCTGAAACAATCTCCTGTGGAGCTGGCTCTCAGGGATAGCTGCTGGTTGTGCATGGAATAAGACCAACAGTATTGGTGGTGTGTCACATAGCACATACTCACTGATGGCAACTGGGTGTTCAGCATTCATATTGGATGAATCATCTCACATGCCTGCAGCGGAATTCCTGGCGTCCAGTATGTTTGATGTACGGCTTTAGAGGAAAGAGTTTGGACTTTCACCTGCAGCAGCTGATGAAGCACCATACAGTCCATGGGAGTGAAGAGAGGGTTGTCACTGGGGCATTATGGTCTGACAGCCTGGTGATAAATACTAAACCAGCAGCAGGGCTGGCCAGAAAATGGGGAAAGGCTGGAGAAAGTGAATAGGGATCTCCTCTCCAAACTCTTTGCTCTCTTCTCCTGCTGCAATCTATTGTCCACAGATATTGCCATCTGGGTTTCCTCCCCTGTTACCATATACCGTGACACATATATCTAGTTCTTCTGCTTCCATGAGGTCATTCAGGCAAATATGAATATGGCCTCTGAGCGTTTTTCAGCCCCCTCCTATTTAGAAACCAAATCCTATTCATTAAAACCTTAATCACTAAGCCTGCCAAATTATCCCCAGAATATGTGTCCCAGATTCTCCCCAGGCTGGACCTCTCTTCCTGCAGCTATATCTTCAGGGACTTACACTAAACAATTATTATTTTCTGAGGATCTGAAGGACTCTGAATAAACTGTTTCAAATAGGAAAAAATATGCAGCATGCTAAAAATCTTTAAATGGTTTGACAGCTCTGAAAGCACTGTGTGAGCCTCACGTTAGGGAATACGTTTGAAAACTTTGGCTAGTAACCATAACATGTAAAAGAGATTTTTTTTTTTTCAATTTGCTGTAATGAAAGATACATCTATTGGTGATGCATCAAAATGTTACAAGTTCACTGATTAAAAAGAACTTCACATAAACATGCACACTGATATAGTTCTTTCCTTAAGTCACATTTCAGCATCTCTGCTCATACTGCCTCACACAGCTGCACAGTTGTGTTTAAGAGAAGTATTTTCTCTGTATTTTTGGCTCGCATATATTTGTCTAGTTAAATACTGGAAACAGCTTTGTATAACGTGAAAATAATAATCGAAGCTCACAGCCATGGCTGTGCACAAGGTCGCCTTTCATCAATAGTTTCTTCCTAGGGAACAGCCAATTAAAATAAACCTTTGGCACAGCTGTTCAGGTTGGCTTTCATTATTCCTCAGTACAGCATATGCAATTTGAACATCATATGCATCCATACAAGGAAATCATTTCCTAGTATAATGGCTTTCTTCCATATGCAATTGGTAAATTCAGCATGGCTATCCACAGCCTTTTTTGTTTGGTTGGTTCTGGTATGTATATATGTATCCGTATTGTTTTGGAATTTTGCAGCTTAGTAATACTTTTCTTAGTTAAATGAAAAGGGAAACTTCTTGTCTCTGTTGATGTGTATCAGGATCTATATCCTTCATTGCTGATGTAGAACGGCATTTCGTTTTTCTTATTTATTCCACCTCAGTAAATCTGCCTGCTCAGTCCTCACGTTTTGATTTAATTTAATGCCTGCAAGATAAGCCCTGTCATTTGTAATAATTTGTAAACCTTCATCTTTAAAATGCATCCAATCTGTCCTGCAGCCCTGTAAAGTATCTGCTAAACATTTTGTTTGAGCTTGCTCATGGTGTTCTCTGATAAGGGCTGCTGATATGCAATGCAAAGCTGACTTCTTATCTCCATCAGCATGGATGTTGCTCCATTTCCAATCAAAAAACTGGGGCAGCAGCCACTCATCTGGGTGCAGAGAAACAAATGCCTGATAAGCGCTGAATCCAACAGCTGGGCAGCATCACTGCCTGAATCAGGCAGGGGACTTACAAAAATAACTATTAAAATATAAAATCGGAATTCCCATACAATTTAGA